GGGGGCGCCCGCGCGGCCCGCGCCCCCGGCCGCGGGCAGCGCTGAGGGGAGAGGCGGGCGGCGCGGGGAGAGCGCCAACAAACGTGTCGTTCAGCGACCGAGCCACCCCGTGCGGACAGCCCAGCTTTTCTCTTCTCCTTTATTTGTCACATCTCTTTTATTTACACAGCGTTTGGGCTTCCAGCCTCTTACTGCAGTGGCTCTCTCTCCCTCGCGGCATCAGGAGGCAGCGGCTGCAGTCAGGAGGACTGTGCCCGCCAGCAGCAGGGCGGCAGGGGCTGTGATGGCAGCTGTGCATAAAAACAAAACCCAAATACTACCAGGAGGACTGAGAAATAGTTAATCACAACTTTGCGACCGTTTCACTATTATTAAAAACATGTTTCACGCACACACTAACAGATAACCCTGTGCAGCAGCAGGACCACCGGCTGTTTCTCGTAGACTGCATCAAATAAAATAAAATGAATAGCTGACCTCTCTCTGAAGCAGCCCAAGTACCAAGGAGCGAGTGTGCTGCTTGGGGAGGTCAGCAAATGCAGAGGATAGACAGTGCCTTGGCTCTTTGCCAGCAGTGCCTCCAAATCTCCCTGGCCTCTCTTTTCCTTCAGTGATCTTAGATATTCTCCCTACTTTCCTCTGCTGGGAGGTGGAGGAGCTTGGGGCATTCTGGACTGCAAGCAGCTCCTCCTTGTCCACAGCCTGTCCATCGCTGCACACTTAGCTCTTCTGAGAGCTGCGCTCAGGAGAAACAGCTGCCCAGAGCACGGGAGACGGGCAGGACGGAGCAGCGGGCCTCGGAACGAATCCCGCAAGGAGGCCACGCCGCATTCCCTAGAATTTCTGATGCAGAACTTCCTCCCCAAATCAGAAAGGCAGTCACCACCTAACAGCACCTGGGAATCATCCAGCCCAGGAGGAGATTCCATTTTTGAGGCCACACTGACACAGTTTGGCTGGCTTTGTCCCAAATTCCACCCTATCCACATGAACAGGGAGCTTCCAGCCCCAGCCGGCTCCCCTGATGGGCAGATGCTGTTAGCACATGGAAGCAGCTTTCAAATGTGAGCACAGCACCTCGTCCTAGCAGCAGCTTGTGTGAGGAGAGGGTGGGAGCCTGGAAGCTTCCAATTTGGGCCATGCTAGTTCAATCCTTGTAACCAACACAATATAAGAAGGGTGATGACAGCAGCCACTAGCAGGTGCTGTCTTATTACCTGCCCGAGAGCACGATGGTGTTTGCAACCCTTCAAGGGACTCGATATATTCACTGCCCAGCCATTCTGCATACGTCCTTCTCTCCTTTACTGGCACAATCTTGACAGCAGAATCCTTAAAGATCAAGTCTTTTCCTTGAAAAGTTGAAGAATCAAACATTTGGAATCCATTTTCATTGCTGCTATTTCCAAAAAATTCCTAAAAGTAATACAAAATTTTCAGTACTTTGCAAGACTAAGTGCCACACTTCTCTGGTACAGCAAAGACAACAGTGGGAACTGTTTTGTACAAGAGAGTCCATACGCAATTGCAGGATTTAGGTGTTTGCTTTCAGAAACTCCAGTGGATTAGCTACCGAATCTGCTCTTGGCAAGTACAAGAGCAGCACTTGGGTTTGGGGTTCTTGTTGCTATGTAGAAGGTGCTGTACTTTTAGAAATCCCTGTGTTTAAGTGCGATTGTGTAACACAGGATCTGGCTTCATGCAAGTTACAGAAATGACTGAAGCCTGGCATGGAGACAGATAATTTAAAGGAAATACTGGGCAACTTCAGCACGGAGAAGGCTCTAGGCTTGAGGTTGCCAGCCATGATCTGCCTGGCTGATTGATTTACCGCATACACAACTGCAGCACAAATATACCCAGCCATGTTCTGTTCCCACATAATGTTGCATTCTAGAGGGGAAAAAAAAAAAAAAAAAAAAAGGATGGAGAAGTGTAAAAGTGTTAGTGGACGCACATTATTTTAAAGTCATGCAACTTGGGAAAACACTTTAGGTTCCAGGAAGATTGCAGCTGAAACCAATGGCTAGGCAGAGTTGACATCACTTTTGCCGCAGGGTGGTTTCCTAGGGGGGTTGCGGGGATTGCACTTTGCTCTYCCCTTCCCCCTCCAGCACCACAGCTCCCCAGGGTGCACGTGCTGCCAGTCCCATGATGGAGGGGACACAGGGTGGCTCTGTCGTCTTCATCCTTGGTCTCTATTATATCATATTTAACGACCACATAGGATAAGTTAATACCTGAGCTTTGTCCAGTAGTCCATATACAGCAAAAACGTTGGTATCCGGGTGCACCATAATGGCCTGTGCTGGCACCCGACCCAGGTGACACTCGGCAAACTGAGTGACTTCAGCACGGGCACCATTTGGACACAACAGCTGGAAGTCACTGGACTTTAAGTTACGGGCCCAGCTGTCCGTATTCTTACCTGAAAGAAGAAACTAGTTACTGCGACTTAATGCTTTACAGCAAAACAGTTCAGGAAAAATAACTGAATGCAATAGGGACACGTAAAACTGAATACCATCCGTGTGCTCAAACACTGTCGAGTGTTTCACAAAGGCCACATCCCCACTGTTCTCTGCCAAGCACCTTTAGGAAACAAGAGAAAGTGCAATTCAAAGCATCTTTATTTCCACCACATCTTCACTAGTAACTGAAATTCTTTTTTTTTCCCCTGTAAACTCCCTAAAGAAATACAATGCATGCTGGRGTAATGAGCAAATGAAGCAAACTGAAAGGATAAAGAAAACAAAAAGGTTGCAAATATAATGACTTCAGATTTTAAAGGAGGAAATTGTGCTTAAAAACTCTGAGAAAAGGCTAGTATTAGATGAGCAAAGAAACAGAATGCAGTCAGTGAAGCTCCATACACCCCTTAGCCCTTCTGCTAAGAGGAGCTTCTACTGTTGCCTTTCAAATCACATATGAACTAAGATATTTTGTTGAATGAAATCCTATGAGTGCATAACCCAAGTGAGTGCACACACAAACTTAATATTTTTTTTTTCAAATTAGTGACATAAGTGCTTGCACTGACACTGCCTTGACAGCCTAAACTAAAGACACCTATTAATTTAATTGCAGCTCATAAGGGCATTGCTCCAGAGCTAAGTTCAATCTCATGAACCTCAGAGGAGAAGAATTCCCTTAACTTTCTGAAGCAGAAGAGGCTCAACGTGCCTAATGTGATATAACACTAATTGTAGACTATTAGGAGAGATTTTCACTAGGCAGGAGTTGGTAAGTCACCAGACATAAAATATGCATGATATTTCCTTCAAAATGAAAATGATACATAAATAATTTCCACCTCAAATCGGTCAGCTGGGTAAGTTAGCAGGAAGATCAAACGTCCTGCATATTTTGGGTAGCRTGTGCTGGCAGTGCATGGAAAGTGGAAGAGGAAAAGACTAGTGATGGGTTTGTTCTACAAGATTTTTTCATGAAACATTCCTTGAAACATGATAATGAAACCCAGCAATCAAGAAGGCTTAAAGCACTAACCAAAAGCTATCCAGCACAAAATGTTAGGAAAAGTTATTACTGCTAACAGTTGCTAGAAGTACAGTTAGAGTATGGTTCATGGTTAACATGGCCAGACACAATCAGACATGTTATCACCGTGTGGCTGAACGTCATGCACAGAAAGCAAGACTCAACAGGCACCGTTCAGTGCACTCTGCCCCCCACTAAAAGGCTGGTCCCAAAAGCAGGTTTTCCAGCACTCTGTGCAGTTTAACTTGTCCCAAGCMGTGGGACACCCACAAACTGAATGACCTCTCATACCTTTAGTCAGGTTGTTCAGGCAAAGTCCAAGAGAACTGAAAGTATGTGGAAATATGAGGCCWAACTTTAAGCTTGTGTCCCCTGCAGCAAGTCATTCTTCTTCCAGAGAAGACTATTCAAGCATAATATCCAGCCCCATCCCTTCCTTTTGTGGGACTGTTTTTTCCCCTCACATTCTAAGCAACTTTTTTTAACCATCTAAAGCTTTCCACATCACTTGGAAAACTAAACACCATCTTTCTTCTGAATTATAAGAAAAAGGGATCTTGACAAAAAGTTTACACTACAAGGACACTATAAATCAAATGCAGTATCTTAGAACCTGGGCAGGGCTCGTTTGGCCTTCAGTAACATTTGTTGCTTATCAGTTTGGTGATGGGGTGATTGGTATCTCACTCTAATCTTGGAGGACAGCAGAGGATCTGGAGTTTGCCCGCAAGGCACGTGCCGTGGTGCAGCAGCTGGACACAGACAGACAAGGGCCCTTCGCAGAGCTGCTCAAGTCCAGCACCTGGGTATTCACCAGGCAGCTGCTGATAGAGCCCCCTCCCCTGAAGGAGAAAGGCCACTCTGCCAGCTCTGCCACATGCATCCTTACCTTTGGAGGTGAAGGTCAGGAACAGCAATTGCTATTTGCACACCCAGCAGTTTCCAAGACCCAACTTTTTGGATAYGACTCCACAGGTAGCTATCAGTTGTTACATAAAGTATTTATTCCATTTTCCACTGTTTCCCTCTATAGTTTAAATAATCTTGCTTCGAAGAGGTCATAGAAATTTGAGCACTGGCCATAGCACCGTGCTGCGGCRAGGGAGCCGTCAGAGCTAACTCCTGTCTTGGAAGGCTTTGGGTTTAYTTATGATGGAAGGACATGGCTACGAGGTGGCTCCAAGCAGGTGGCCATGCATGAGGAGCCCCTCAGCTCCCAGTTTGCCTGAAACCCAACCCGTGCTCACGTGGTTCTGCCCAACCAGCAACAGCAACCACATGTACTAATCACCTGAAGGCTCCGCTGTAGCCGTAATAATGCTCCTGGCTGCTTGCGCTGCATTTATTTTTCCCATTATCATCTCCGATGCAGAGCTGACAGAGTTTTGATGGGTAATTGTCCAGCTTGGCAGAAGGCACACAGCTAGCAGAGAAAAACTCACTCACAGCTGCAGAAAACAGAGAAAACGAGCAAAAAGCACAGACATGCTTAATGGAGTTATGAAACATCACAAATTACTTCTATAGAGCACATAATTAAAATGTTACTGTGCTTTTGATATGCCAACTTTTGCCATCTTACCTTGAGGAATATTACAGTCTCTGGGCCTAATAATTCCCCTTTTAATGAGCATGCCGATGGGGATATTCCAGCCGGCAGATCTCCCCAGCCCGGTGTGGCAGGACCGCTTCCCCTGCAGGTCGCGGATGGTGAAGGCGTTGGCAGCATCGCGTCGCACCAGGGCCACGGCGTAGTACGTGCTGCTGCTGTCGCCGCCTTGCAGACAGACACGGCGCGTTAGAGCCTGTCCTAAGCAGTGCTGCAAGTGACAACGGGCACTGCTCTTCCCCAGCGCCAGCTCCTGCGCTTATGCACTMGGAAGGAGCCAGCATCCATCAGCTGGCTATCAACTATGAGCACATACGGAATTTTTCTTTACCTCTAATACTCCAAAATGTTGCATTTCCATACAGCCYGCATACTGGTGCTGCTAGGCACTGGAAGTAAATACTCTAGATATGAACATGAATACTTTAAATGCCATGAAAGASGTTTATTAACACTCAACTAACTCAAACACATCCTTCCCAGAATAATATTTGGATCACTGGTGACACAGCAAAACCGCTTTAAGCAGCGAGCTATTTTACATAYCAATTGTTTCTAACTAAAAACACAAAGATTCTAGAAACTAGAAAATACAGAAGTGTTACTTCTGTATTTTTGCTTCYGTTAAACTCTTGTGTGTGAATGCACATTTTTCCATTGCATGTAATTTTTGTGGAACTGAAAGAGAAAAAAAAAAAAAAAGGTGAAAGATTCATCAGCTGTCACATCAAGCTGGCCCAGTGTTAGGACAGACAAAAGTTGGCATAAACTCACTGCAGAAACCCACTCCATATTCATTTTCCTCCTCTATTCATGATGAGAGAATAATCATACTGATGTCCTTGGCAAACACCTTTCCAATCAAGGCCAGAAGGCTGAGAGTTTTGAATCCTTGCTTTTTATTTTTTTAATCCTGAAAAAAATAAGGTCTATGTTTATGTTTCCTGACCTTACCAGAGTAGCTTTCTCCAGCAGCTGGTACAAGGCCATACTTCTTCCCAGCTGTGTAAATATCGGCTCCACTCAGAGCTACAGCATCACTTTCCTTTTTCTGAAAAATCAAATAAAATTTAGAGCTTTTGTGCTTCCCTGCTACAATGATGACACCTCCAGCATCAACGCATGTCAGAGGATAAGGCTGGTGGCAAAAGAGATCTTGTCCGCTGAAGAACACAAGAGAAATCAACACGAAGCCTCATTAGATTTCAGGCACAGGGGTTTGAACTAGATGGATAAAGATGTTCTTTCCACAACTGAAGAGCTTTGGAGTGCTCAGCCTCATCCACACCCCGTGAGCTGCAGATCCCCTCCTGAATATCCAGGTATCCCCCACGGCTTGCCTAAATTCCAGGCCTCTGATCCCACCTACGTGGTGAGAGCAGCTTGTGTTGATCCATTCCCTGCACAAGGCTGGGAGCAGCCTACCTGGATCATCTCCATGCACTCTTCTTTTGTCTTGGCCGAAATGCACTGGACTAATGGAGTCAAATCCTTGTCCTGAAAGACAATACCCATCTCGCTGCATTTCCAAATCTCCTCAGTGGATACCACACACCATTTCAGGCTCTCTGGCAATGCTGCACAAAATTGGAAAGCAAATATCAGCATTCATTTCCTCTGASACAGACAAGGAGGCTTCTCCCTGCCCAGTTTCTCTCCATTTCTTCAGCACAGACTTGCTCCTTCTTCAGGAGCCACAGGGGTCTCCAAATCAGTGATGTGTCTATACTGCACATCTATGCAGAACGAAGGAACAAGAACTCCTGCTATTGCTGGACACACAGTGCAGCCATAAGGTCACAGAGTGCCCTTCCTCTGAGCTTTGAGATGAGGAAGGCACCTCACAATAACCCTCCAAGAATGAGAAGACGATAAAGGAGAATAAAGATGATTTCTGTCATCAACTATCTTTGTTCCTTGGTACAGAGTGGAATCTCAAGCCAACTTACTGCTGGGGTCGCAGCTCAGGGCTCGCATGGCATGAAGATACTCATCCCCCAGCCAAGCCTGGTAGCTCTGGGCCGGGATCGCGGCGAGCTCGGTGGTGGCGTCTCGGAACAGAAGATTCTGGGCACCGTAGGCTGCCGAGTCAAACATCTGAAACTCGGCCCCTGCACCGCTAAATCTTTGCTGTTAGGTTAAAGGAACAAAAGAGACGTGTCAGGTACGTGTCCATGTATGCTGGTGTCACATGGGAAGTCTGACAATGTTAGCTTAGGGAAAGGGCAACCATCTCCTGCCTGTAAGAGGGACAAGCAACCAGGATTTTCCTTACGGAGGACTCACCACCTGAAAATGCGTGAAAAAATGCTTCCCCCATGAAGTTGTTGTTCTCCCATGTTCCAGACCGTGAGGACCAAATACAGCCTTCAGCCCCACTGTGCAAACCCCGCTTCAGGGCTCTCCACCCAGAGACCGAGTGCCCACTATTCCCTTTCAAGCTCCCCACGGGGCAGAGGGCACCCATCAGCTCTGCTCTTCAACCCAGCTGGATCCACCGAACACGCAAGTCACTGACGAAAAACCAGCATCCTACTTGTCCCTGGTTGAGGAGCTGGAAGAGAATCGTGCCGTCCGTGTCGGGCCGCACCACCACGGCGCGCGCTGGCACCCGGGCCAGGTGGCAGGTTCTCCACTCGGTCACATCAGCCCTGCTGCCGTCGCGGCACAGAAGCTGAAAGTCCCTGGAGCGAAGCTTCTGCGCCCACGAAGCAGCAGCTTTTCCTGGAATCAAGCAGGAGAGGCTTCTCAGACTGGTGCTCGTGACTGCCTCCAAGTGTGTGCTAAGCACTGCGTGTGCATACGGAGCAGAGGACGGCTCTCCTGAACATCCCTGAGCTATTCCGGGCTGCCCAATGTATCCTGTGCATCTGTGTGGTCCCAYAGTCTTGCACCTCTGCTTCGGTGAGCAGCTCAACGCTCAGCAGATGCACAGACCTATACTGGGGTCTGCAGCTGTATCAGAAGTGTCTCCAAGTCTAGGACCACGTAGGACACTTGTTTTTCTTTCCCTGCAGTTCATGACAGTCAGACAGGCCCATGATGTTTAAATGATATTGTGTTAAGGGCAGATCTCAGAGCTTAACAAAACAGGGCCTGCCTTTCTCCTGGTCTCTGTTGAGACCTCTGTGTAGGAATAAGCAACCTCTGTGTTCACAGCAGCCCCAGCCTGTATAAAACAAAGAGTTTAAGGGCTAATGAATCTCTCTTTTCAGAGGAAATAAAATCCCACCTCTAACCTAGGCCGAAACTGGAGAATAAATAAAGAAATAAGGGCTCACCTCTATTCCACGCACATATATATGTGGACACACCTACTGATTATAGCTTTTTTGGCTTGCTCTTCACTTCAAGCCAGACCGAGCCCTTGACCTGGCACTGTCTGTGCAGCCACGGCAGCGCCGCGGCGGTTCCCCGCTCGTGGCGGGGCTGCAGGAGCGGCTGCACTCACCGTCAGTGCTCCCGGGCACCGTGCTGTGCTTCACGAAGGCCACGTCGCCGGCGCCCTCGGCCAGGCACCTAGGGGAAGCGCAAAGCCAAGGCCGCGTGGGCGCCGCGCCCGCACCCACCCACCTCGTCCCTAGCCCTGCGCTGGGACTCGAGCTCAAGGCAGAGGTTAGTGGCCGCCAGAGCATGAAGTCACTGTCACTTGCTGAACGTGGACAACACGCTCAGGGCTGCTGGGGACGGACAAGGCCCTCTGAAGGGTCGTGAGGCTTTAGCAGCAGAGATACACCCTGCTGAAACAAACAGCCAGGCTGTGTCCCCAGGTGCCAGGCAAGAGAACAGCAGGGCGACTTCCCTGCCCAGCACAAGCGTTAGATACCCAGTTAGCTTTAATACTCAGGTATTAATTCCTTAAATAGTAATTCAGGCTTACTTGTGTTCAGTCCCAAGGCTTAAATCGCAGTTGTCCTAGCAGATTATCCTAGCAGATTATCTACTGGAATCGAGTGCGAGTTCCCTGCCCTCAGATTCCTGCCTCTGAGACCCAGACACTATGATAATGGATACAGCAGAAAGATAAAGAGCTACACCATATATTTTCATATTTATATATTTATATACTTACATACTTATATAATTACAAGCCTTTTACATTTTGCTGCTGCTAGAGACAACAGTGCACTTTGTTCTGTTGATCAGTGACTTGCAGTGAGTTCCATCACACATTTCAAATAAAGCCCAGGAAATCAAATCTTTATTTCCCAGGCTTTAAGTAAATTTCTTAGCATCACTGTTAATAAGTATATATTTGTGAATGCATACCATTTGTACCATCTCATCTCCTAGCACTTAATACACCTGAAAGCCACAATGTGTCCCTCTTACTACTAAATTATTAGTAGTAGCATTTAGGCACTTAAATATTATACAAGCACAAAGATTTTTTCAAAGGAAGTTGAGCTTGAATTCTATTAAGCCAAATACTACTTGTTCAAAGAACAATGGCAGTCCCACTAGGTCTGCACTTTTAATTTTTTTTTTTTTTTGTATTTTTTTTCTTATGCCTTGGATGAAGAAACATGAGGAGATTACACATTTATTCATTTCAACAAAACTGCAGAGAAGTTAAGAGCCAAGGGCCAAGAACAGAACCCAGGATTCCCACGAGCCAAGCCTTTGCGTRCAAAGCTGCAATCTCCTCTCTTTCCAAAGAGGTGGGATGTGCAGGATTCGTACCTGAAGGCCCCGCTGTAGCCGTAGTACTGCTCCTCTGCGTTTGCTTCACAAGCGTTTTGCCCAGACGCATCTCCCTTGCAGAGCTGACAGAGGGATTTGGAATAATTCCCGCTCTTTGCTCCAGGAACACAACTTGCACTGAAATACTCACTAACAGCTACAAGTGAAAGCAGAGCAAGACATTTTTATCAACAAGAAACAAGCCCCTACGTTTAGCACACTTACACGCTACACATCTAAGCATTAAAAGGAGCAGGTCATTTTGTTTTTTTAAAGGATTACTTCCAGGTTAACCAAGTTCGCACACTTTGTTGTTTCGGTGCCAGCTCTACTCCCTCTGCTGCAAAGCATCGGCACCAGAACGGAACAGCTCCGGCAGCTCCCGTGCCGGTGCAGGGCCCGGGCGGCGCGCGGCGCCTCCGCTCTCACCTTTGGGCAGCTCGCACCCCAGCGCTGCCAGGCGCCCGCTGTCCAGGAGATAGCCCAGCGGCACGTCCCAGCCCGCCGTCCTGTTGATGCCCGTGTGGCACGAGCGGGCACCACGCAGGCTGTCCATGCTCATGTTGGAGCTCCTCCTTACAACAGCCACGGCGTAGTAGGATGTTCCAAACTCTGCGGCATAGCGAGAAACGGGAGCAGAGGAGCCCAGGAGCAGCATTACAGTGCGATGTACTGACTTGAGAGGGCTCTTGGCTCTACCCATTGAGAAGACACCCTGTCCACAACCTTGGGGAGAACCTGTCGACCTCGGCTATCACCTATTGACTCTGCTCTGTGACCAGCAGAGCTGTGGATCACGAGAGCCCCGTGAGGCCGGGCTGGAACAGGTTTCCCAGGTCAGGGGGAGCAAGGCTGCAGTGTAAGCTGGGCCCAAGCAGGCCAGGACCAGCTGCACATCCAGCCCCATGGCCTCTCGCAGTGGGGCAGGGGGACACCGAGCCCCCGTGCCACTCTTGTAGCTTACAGCACTGACAGGCAGCTCTGATAACACCTTACCTCTCATTTTGTGTTTCATTATCTGCAGCATTTGGAACAGAGAAGACAGTAACAGAATAAATTATGATGGGAAGAGCTGTTTTGACCTAAGCATTTCAGGGACAGACAGCCCTTGGTCTCCCRTTTCCCTCCTAGGTCTCTTATGGCAAGAACACCCAAAAGGGAATGTGACCATAACCTCATGTTTAGGGTCTTTAAGAGGACCCTAAAATAACAATGAAACAGTGAAAATGAACAGAAAAAAAAGCTTATGTAACAAATCCAGAAGTTATTATGTCTGAATATACCTTGATCATAAACTTCCCCAACCACAGGTTTCAGTCCATGCTCCTTTCCAGCTTGGTAAATTGAGTAACCGTCCAATGTCACTGCATCTGCCAAACCATCCTGTGCAAAACACAAGGTGAAGATCTATGTTAAAACACAGTTATTAATATTTCCCAACAGCCAGGGGCAGTGTATCCATGAATTTGAGAGAAGAGGCCATAGGATGCAATCAGTCTCTATTTGTGAGCCTCCCTGTCTCTGAAAAGTCCTTTCTAGGGCACTCAATCTACTAATGAACAGTTACTGAGATAGATTTAAACACCAGAATGCTCTTCCTTCAAAAAACAATGCAGAGACCAGCCTTACACGCTAGTGGCCTCACCAGACTTCACAGTTCAAAGGAATCTTAGAAAWGGATCCTTATTTTCTTCCTCCGGCTCTGGGACCAGTCTAGAAGCTCATCAAATGGGAGCTTGGTTTTTTTTTTTTGCTTTAGCTAGTGCCCCAAAGCTTGAAGATTTAAATAAAAAACATACATATTTCTGAGCTCACACAGACACATTCTGAAGTGCTGTCTTCTAGAGCTGCAAAACACAAATGTCAAAGTTTATTTTCAAGACAGCACTAAATAGATCCTCTCACCGCGAGAGATCAGCAGCCACACACCTTGCAGAACAAAGGAAAAGGGACATGGACATTTCCCTGTAATACTTGGTCTCAAGGAATTTATATTAATACTAAGTAGAGCTCTAGCCAACAAAAATTCTGCTCTCCTCTCATATTTTCCTCCCTTCTGAATAATATCTCTTATCAGCAATATAWACTCTGCTGAATTGCTTGTTCCTATAAATCAGACTTTTCTGCACACTAGAAAACAATTTTTTTTCTTAAGTAAAACAACAGCAAAGAAGAGYCAGGGCACATGTTCCTGCACGACAGTGGTTAACGCAGGCAGCAACCAAGGATCATCCACAGGTGACAGAACTGAGCACCATGCAAAGGAAGAACTCAGATAAGGAGGAATTACAGGCCCAGAAGCAGCCCAAGGAAACGGGAACTGTACAGAAACCCTCCCGCTGACCAACGCAGCCTGGGGCCCTGGTTGTGCCGTTCAGGAAAGCAGCATCTGAAAGGACGGTCAGAAGAGGGGCAACCTGGGGCACCCACTGCTGGGAGGGTGCCCAAGGGCCTCATGTGCTGAACTGGCTCCAACCCGGAGCTGGCTGGAATCCTGCTATGGACATGGGATTGCACTGGATGCATGGGACAGGGAGCTTCCTCACACCTCCCATGGCCAGACCCGGCTCTGTTAACCAGGCAGAGAGCCAAGTTACTGCTGAGAAGGGACAGAGCAAGTCACGGTGCTGCACGTCTGGGCTGGCACCGAGACTCTGACCAGCTGGCTTCAGCTGCCGGGGGATAATTCATCTTGCCGGGGCCAGGACGCTGCTCCCCTGCGTGTCCYGAGCAAGTCCCCGCTGCAGCAGTCGCACAAAACGCTTGCCAAGTTTTTAGGGGATTACCTCAGGTAATCTAAACCTAAACCTGGCCCAAAGTTGCAGCTTTGGCACAACTCGGCAGCAGCAGAGCATTCCAGCAGCACCCAACAACAGCCAAGCATTTTTTGTATTTTTTTTTTGTAACAAGCTTTGGCCAACATAACTAGCAAAACCACGGGCTCCAGATAAGGTTTTCACAGATATACATGTATTGGTAATACTCTGTGTTAACTACTTTCAACTACTCGTTAACTAATTGCTCCACTCAAATTRAACATTGAAAGGCTCTTCAGGTTAAGTTTTACAGCATTTCACAATTTTTAAACATCTTGGAAGAAACCAATGTGTACTTTACCCACGCACAAACAGAGCTCACGGAACCAAGTCCAAGTGATGGGGCTATAAACGGCCTGTCCCGCATCCTCCGCCGCCGGATCCCATCCCTGCTCTGTCCTCAGGGAGCAGAGCTCAGCACAGAGGTGGACTCGGGTCCGGGCAGCCCTCGCAGCGCGGGGGCCTTGGGCACCCGGATCAGCAGCGGGAGGAAGGCAGCCCTCAAGGCCAGGCCCTGCCTGGAGCATCACTGACSGTCAGGCTTTCCCTGCTGATGCCTTCGGGGCGCCCCGAGCTCAGCTCATCAGGGGTTTCAGCTGTTTCCACGCTCTCTGCATGGGTGACAAATGTGACTCTGGGCACACTGTGYTTCGGAGGCAGTCACTCATCAGCTCTTTCTGTAACTTGTCTTGCAGAATCTAACAGATCCTTTTCCGGGGAATGCAGCCAAGTGGTTTTAGGAAACATGGGACATGAAAAAGTATTTCCTATCCAAGCCACATATATTGATACACACTCCCTGTGTTCTTTAATACTGTCTTGATTCCTTCAGTCAAAAATGGTACTTACTGAGAATTTATTACTTTATAGACAACAAGCCTTCTGTTTCTGTGGACAAAACACTACAAACACCACAACTTTGGAAGTTCATCCTCTTTTCTGGTCACATCACTACCTGGCAAATCTCCCTGCAAATCCCTGCCAGGCCTGTTTTCCCGGTGCCAGTCCCCTCGGCCTTGACTGCATCCCCCTGGCTAATTCCCCACTCTGGGACACAGCATGACTGTTTATTAGCAGAACCAGCCATYCTTCTGGGACCAGTGACCCCCTCGTAAACCGGGGTGCATCCACATGGGAGAGGGGGACGGGGAAGCACCGGGGGGAGCCCTCAGCACACAGAGCCTGCTGCGAGCTCCCCCAAACACAGAGCACGGAGCCGTCCACGTCACTGGGAGCGTGCGGACACCCCAYGACTGCTGCCATCGGCACCGGCACCTCACCTGGATCATGCGCGTGCAGTTGGCGGCCGCCTGCCCCTCCACGCAGCGCAGCGGCGGCAGCAGCGCAGCCCCAGCAAAGGCCGCGCTCATGTCCCTGCACTTGGAAAGCTCTTGCTCGGACACGGTGCACCATCGGACACGCTCCAGGCTGGCAGCTGGCGACAGAGCATCAAGAGAAAGCAATTACAAACAAACTTCTGTAAAAAGGCTTATTGAAAAATCCCTGAAGATCCAGACTTTCACTCCCTTCCTCTGTCCAAAACAAGTCGGGCTTGTTTTACATTGAGGTTGGAGAAATGGCTTCTGCTTTCACTCGGATTAACAGTAACAGGAGCACTGAATTTAACTGGATTAGAAAAAGGAAAGGTTCCAATTTAGGTATTAAAACAAGATGGATTCGTTACTAGCTAAGCATGAGTGACACAGAACAAGCCAGAGCAGCCAGACCTTTCTTAAAATCCGGTAAAATATCATATTGTCATTTGTGTCCTGGGGAGCTGTGGATGTGCCTGAGGTTTTGTGCCACGGAACCGCTCTGTGGCGCCCAGGGCACAGTCCCGGCCTTGAGCAGCTTCTCAGGTTTGTTCTCTGGAGCTGCCCTGTGGATGTGTAAAGAACCACTGGCAAAACGTGGTCAAAGTCAAAGAAAACCACACTACCCTTAATCCTMATTTGCAGCTGGGAAGAATCCTCCTGACCAGGTCTCACTTATTGTGCAGGCAGATGGGGACACACGAACAACAGACTCTGCTACAGAAGTGGAGAGCATCAACCACCACGAGAGCTTTGGCACCCAGCTGCCTGCTCCAGCCACGTGTCGTGGCGCACACCTGGAACGCTTTCTACCRAGCCGGGCTTGTTCTGAACACTAGAAAAGTAAACTGGTCCCTCCAAACCACCTCCACAACAGGTCCCTTCCACAACCACTGGAAGGAACGTGCAGCTCCCATCAGGTTAAGTAGGGGCAGGGGCTCCWGTAGTCCGTGAGGAAAGGAAGGAAGCCAAAGCAGACTCAGTTGCACCTTGTTGCTTGCACAAGCAAATATCCATCACCAAGTGCAAACACTGCAGCTGTGCATAAAATGTGGGTGCAACAAGTTTTACGCTGATAAATAAATACAGGTTATTTTTGGAATCAGTTGGCAGGAAATTCCAAGATTTACTTTCTTGTTTGCTTGCTTACATCTACCTTATTGTCCTGGCTCAGATCATATTCACCATTCATTTTCGGGGAGCAGGAGAAGGGATGTAGCTCTTCAGAGATAAAGGTGGTTTTTGGTTTGTTTTTCCCTCTCCAGCACACAATAATTAGAAACCAAATTGCTTTCTCAGCATCGTGGCCTGCACAGCAAGGCACCATCCTCCACCTTCAGCTCCCCGGTATCGGACAGAGGCACAAGGCAGACAGCGCACGAGCTGCACGAGGCATCAGTAGTCAYGTAAATCTGACATACATGATCACACCTACTGGTTCTGAAGGGGTTCTGAGTTTCCCCTTGCTCTCTCACATTATCAAGCGACCAACCGCCACRACAGCAAGACACAGCCAGGATTTTTCAGAGGCCACTTACCAGCATGRAAGAAGAGAAGGCAGAAGACACCCCCGGAGCTCTTCATGGTGAAGACTGTGGGATTTGTGCTTTTTTTCCAGCCCCCGAAGTGCCCGAAGGCCAGTGCTGTGCACGGCTGCTCCGTGCTGGAAGGCAGCAGCAGGCAAGGGGTAACTGCACTTTGCTCCGCAGTTTATCTCGCTCTGGCCCACGTCACCCCCACCGCATGGGAGGGAGGGGAAAAAATTTAAAAAAAAAGGAAAAAAAAATCTACCTCTCTTCATGCCAACTCCAAACTTGAAAGAAAACAAAACAAAGACTCAGATGTGACCAAATATCCAAGTCACAAGTGAGGTTGTCACTGGTTTATCTCCAGACCTGGATCAACAGCTACACCCCAACTCACGGCAGCACCATAGGGCTGCGTAGTGAAATCCTCATCTTCAGCAAGAGCTGTGTGAGGGTCTCTGCAATGGAAGCTCAGGAAATAAAAACAGACCCTGCTAAGCCAGGGCTGACAGTTGCTTTTTGCCACATTCTGTGTTGTTGTGAACCACACAAAGCCATTAATGACAAACACAGGCTTTTCTAGTAATGCAGTCTGTGAACGCTGCAGTTGCTAGGGACACACCTGAGATCTAAGGGAAAACGCTAGGAAATAACCAAACCAGATTAGAAAAAAAAAAAAAAAAAGAAAGTTTTAACAAGGAGTCAGGAAGGTTTCCGTCTCCCATAGGTGTAAAGGCCCCCACAGGATCCGCGCCGAGGCTGCTGTGGCTGTCGGACTGGCCTCGGGAGCGCAGCAGCYGCGTGCCCATCAGTGAGGGAGCCGCAGCTCCCCTGCACCCTGCAGCTTCCCGCTCCCTGCGGCGCCTCCGTCAGCACCTCCCAGCCCCGCACACACCTCGACCGGCCCCTCCATGCCCAGGCGCCCACGGAGCCAGCAATTTACCCGGCTGCTTTCGGAGCGACCGACTGGGCTCCCGGCTGCAACTTGGCCAGGCTGCTGCATTCCCTGCCTAGCACCAGGAAGACAATGCCCGAGCCTAACTCAGTTCGTTGCTATTTCATAGAAACAGCAGTTAATGCAAAGTCTTTAAAAATCACAGAACAGTCACACAGATGTGTCAGGGCCGTCAACATTTTTGCCAGGGCCCAAGGRAAAAACTGAAGCAAACAAACAGAAGATACTGCAGAGGTCTTTGGGTTTGCTGCTCTGTATCCAGGACTACTTTTCACCCCAGCATGATAACCACGCAAGATAACTGCAGTGGACTTTAGCCCGAGTGTAAAGCAGAATTGGTGGCAACTAGCTAATACCTGACAAATGCTTGAAAGAAAAGCACTGTGGAAACTCGGTTGAGGTAATCCTGCCCAGGGCAGTCATGCCTCACAGAGCTCTCGATCAAAACAGCAACTAAAACACTTTTTAATGAGCCAAAAGAAGAGGTAAGGAAAAGAAAAATGTATACTACGTAGGAGCCTCCAACATGATGGTGGTTTTCAGATTTCTCAGTATTCAGAAGTTTCATCAGAATTTACAAAATGAATCAAATAACTGGCCTTTTTTTAAGGTCTCTCATTGTGCACCTCAAATGACTGGTCTTCTCTYGAAGCAGCAGCTACAGTACGCAGGATTACTTGTGAACGCTCCCACCAGTTCCGCTGCACATCCCGCAGCTCCGGGGGGAAGGATTCGCAGGCGCCGTCTCTGCCATCCAAGGAAACGGAAGGGGCCTGGGCCCGCGCCAGCAGCCTCTGCCTGCTCTTCCACAGAGCAGCGCCACGACTGCAACTGCATCTGACACCGCAGCTCCGGCAGCCCCGCGCGGCCAGGCGGCTTCTGCCACGTTCTCTCCTGCTACACTCTTCACTCCTGCACCACCTGCATTTCTTTCCATTAAAAACACATCTGACAAACATATTGTACAATAAAGTTTATTAGCTGTTCTCCTCTTTCTAACAAATGGAATGGATAGGGTGGATTATTCTTTACAAAYCAAAGCTAATTTGGTTGCGTGACAGCACCGTGGCTGTCAATGAGTACATCCCTCTTACAACAACCAGTGTGAAATAAGCCATGGCAGGTACCAAATAATACGGGATTAAGAGTTTCATTAACTGAAGTTGGTTCCACATTTTGCTACAACTTATTTATAACATTCRGCACAGAAGTCTGTGCTTCGCAAATGGAAGATTTTGTACCTATGCAATCCATGAACAAGCACAGAAAAATAAAATGTACTGCTGCGTCTGACTTCTCCCTTCGGTTAAAACATGCATATTACAAGAAAAAAGTACAAACATCTGAAATTTTGTAGAAAAGAGGAGAACTTGCACATTTTTTTTTTCTTTTAACTAATAGTCCCTGGACTTTTTTTGCCCAGCCACCACAGCCCACTTAATTTCATGTGATTAAGGAAGGTAAATTCTAATCTGCATTTTTATCCAAAAAAAAAAAAAAAAAAAAAAAAAAAAAAGCTAGGAGTAGGTGGTAAAAGAAAAATATATATTTTTATATATATATATTTATACGTGTGTGCAACTATGTAAAGAAAATAATTCCCATAGTTACAGAGTTTAGTTAAAGAAAGTTTAATATATATATATATTTATTATAACAAAATAGGCAGTTATTGTGGGTAAAATATTCATTAAAATCTGACCCCCTAAGAACACACACATTTTTAGGCTACGAATCACACTCTCATTGCCCTAAAGACCATCTCTGCAGCTGTTTTCTGTATTACTGCCAATGGAAACTTGGCATTCTCTTGTAAATACAAGGTTTCCTAGCACCTAAACATATTTCAGGCTCAAAAAGTGTGATGCCCATTATCTATAAACAATTTTTGTAAGACACTATAAATAGTGTTGCACAAGGAAGATTAAAAACGTTACACATCTTTATCCCTAGCAATTTTATTGGCAAAAAAATGAAAAAATAGATTATAAGAATATCCATATGAAATCATGAAAATGAATATCCCTTGAGAAGTAGTAATGGGAGTTAATGAAAATGCAAACTCAAAATTTTAAAGTTTCTCTTTAACTGCCTGGAAAAAAAAAATATGGTGACAAAAAGAAATTTAACTCCAAAAATCAACCCTGAAACTGATTGCCCAGACCGAACCATGCTATTAAAGGTAAGCGTAAGTGGCTCATGATTCACAACTTCCGTGAGTACCACTCTTCTTTCAATTGTTATGAAATTTTAAAAGAATGTCTATAAAGCTTTTTTGAAAAATCTCTGAAAGTTACTCTCCCTTAAACATTAAGGAATTTTATCAAGTAATTCCCCACCCCCCGACCCACCCCAAACTAACAGCTGGYCAGGCCATTCCGCTGTCTTGTTTGAAAAATGGCAAACCAACAACACACAATAATACGAATTATCTGAACTAAGAGAGACACCAGATGTAAGCGTTACGGGAACTGCAGATCGCGATGGTTAGGACAGGAACCACGCTGGAGAGAACTAGAGAGGCAGGCTCCGCTGGAAGGGCTTAAGAGTTGTCAGATGTAGTAGTGGATGTCAGTTAGAAAATGAAAAATAAAAATCTGTTTTCATAATTTTTCCTTTGCTGGAACCCAGATGTAAGGGCCAGACTGTTCCTCTATGATCTGTTTCACTTGGTTGTAGATCTCTTCCAGGGTGTCTCCTTGGACAATAGCTGCAAAACAGAACAGGGCAAATGAGCAACCACCTTCTCCAGCCCCAGACAGAAGCCACGACCTTCTAAGCTCTTCTCCCCGCACAGCAACAAAAGGACAGCTGAAGGGCTGGACGCCCACTGGGACCTCCAGGATCCGGGGGGACCAAAGCAACTTGCTGATGCTGTTGCAGGAGACCCAGAGCACTGTCTGTGCTGCTCAGAGGCCTGGTGTCCAGGAGCCTTTAACCTGCACTGCAAATAAGCGGGGTTCTTCACCCTTCCTAACCACATGGCAGGGTCAGTGTAAGAGAATTCCTTCCAGCACTCTTTTCGACCCGGCTTCCAGCCTAAGAAGGCAGGACAGAGCGCAGGGCTGTGTCCTCACGCAGCCAGGCAGTGTGAAGCTGCCTGCATGGATCAGGATGGGAGAGCTCCTCAGGCGTGCTCCGAAACGCAGAGAAGCTGCTCGACTTGASGGGTTTCCCTCTGCTTGGACTAGCTTTGCTCTTGGCCAGAAAGAGGAATAACTCCTGGAGCTGGTTTTCCAGTCAGTAGATTCTAGTTTTACAGTCAACAGGCCTTCCTTACACTGTTTCTACTCCGACTGTGCAAGTTGCATGCATTTTCTCCAAGGCCAGAGAAGAATTAGAAATGAGCCACCAGGGCACATTCTGACATATCAGAGTCAAGCACGGCCTGGTGAGAATGAGGGTGAAGTCTGAGCTGCTCATACAACACTCCAGTCTGAAATTGCAGCCATGAGATAACTGCTTCTTTTTAATTATGACTGCCACCTCAGTGCTCATAATCCAAGAAATAATCTTTAGCAGGAATGATGATTCTGGAGGCGCACAGGACGCGCTCCTCCATGCATTATTAGTGATGCTTCCGAGACTGGCTTTCATGCAAATTACTTCCTTTTCATTCCTACTCATCGCTCCCATCTCTCTTAAAAACTTCCTCCCCGCCCGCAGCCCGTTGTCACGGGGCCGTGGAGGCGGTGGCTGTTCAGTCCTTACAGCTCAAGAGCAACCAACGTTCACGGCACAAGGGCTCACTGGAAGACTCACGACTGCCTTTCCAGGCTTCAGGTTCCTGCTTCTCCCCACCTGCCCTTAACTCTCCCTCCTCCAAAGCCTAGCGTGAAGCTGGACATGCTCTTCGTATGCTTCCTTGCAGGGTCTCCATGTGTTTAAGTCTTCCCTGCTTASGAAGTGGATTTCACTTATCCCACATGCTGTGATATTTTTCACAGACCAGAGAATATTCACACATTCTGTTTCACCAGCAGAGTCATATGAGCARCAGCCTCCACATGCTAAGCGGTAGGTGGGAATGTAGTATCTTCAAGAACCTCAAACCAGAAAAAGGACTTTTACCCTGCAGCAAATTATTAGGGACATAAACCTGCCCATGAGATGTTGCTATCTGCTTTTGTCAACAAAGCTCAATACTTCTGACAAGCAAGAAACATGGCCCTGAGCACAGGAGCTCATAAAATGGCCCCGAAGTTTGAAACATCTTGAATTACGTCCCTTAATTTCCTGAAAWATTGCTAGACAAGTTGTCACCTGGCAGAACACCAGTAACTAACTACTAAATATTAATATTTATTAAAATGAGATCATTCAATAGCAAATAGACACAAAAATGTATTTGTTTCCTGAAAACAGACCTGACATCCTGGTAAGTAATTTGGGAAGGTCCTCTATAAATGGAAGAATTTGCAACATACTTTGAGAACCTCAAATTCAGGATATATGCAGATGTAGAGCTGTGCGAAGAAGGGAGAGGCAGCAGGAGYACTGGGAGGGAGAGGCAGCCAGAAAGGGGAGGACTCGACTCCTTGAAGGGCTGGTGCAGGGAACAGGGCAGCAGGGAGAGCAGGGCAGGGAGTCTCTTGGCTGCTCCGTCTCCCTCCCAAGGGGAGCTGCCCTCCTCTCCYGCATCTCTGCCAGGGAGAGCAGATGGCTCACAGAGAAGCTTTGCACTCACAGCTCTGCCCACGTAACAAGTGGGAGAAGGAGYTGGCAAAGGGAGACACGTCACTAAAGGAGGTAAATGGGGCAGCAAGTCCTGCAAGACTACAGGAGAGAGCAGCCCGGAGGAAAGGAGCYGGTGCCGAGGACAGGAAGAGACAAGGACTATTTCTGTTCTCCCCATGATCRAGCTCTGCCGTCCCGAGCCTCAGCCTCCTCCTCGTACTGCAAGCCACAATGCAAAAAATCAGCAGAGCTCGAGTGCTTGCAGCTGATCCCTTGTTGTTACTGTCAGGACCAGGCCATGCACATATCTGGTTTGCTGGAGAACCAYCAGGATGTTCCATCCGATTTCCAGAATTTTAATTACCAATATTCTTTGCTTCCTGATTTCAAAAATTAGAAAGCAGTATCATTTGACAGTTTTGCTGGGCAACTAGAAAAGCTTTAAGYACTTGGTATATCAAAAAAAGCAAACACATTTCCATAATTAGAAAAAACAGTAAAATTCTCAAGATTAAGATCTTGATTAAGCTGCAGATAAAGTTTTACATTTACTGAATTCACCAAACTCATTCCAATGAAGATGTACTAGGACTGCTCAATGCCTCACATCAATCAGAGACCAGACTGTAAACAAGATTCAAGCTTATCTTAATACCCTGGCAATTACAATGCAGCAAGCAATAAAACTTCAATGTGCAGAAGAGAACAGTCTCAAACAAAACAAACCTGTGAAGTGTTCGGTAAATTCTTGTTCCAGTTTCATGGCTCTCTCAAATGTCTTCTTGGCTTGGTCTTCTGTTAAGCGTTTATTCATTTCCCTGAAATCAAAAACATTACGCATAAAAAAACTACTATCAAATATTTGGCATCTTTAGAAGGGAATTTAAAACTGCTCTCACAGCACTAAACCTAGTAAAAACAGTCTTCTAAAACCTAATGAGACACTCACTGGAAAGGAGTTGTTCTGGYGCTAAATCGCCCAGAATTCTGCACAGACAGTGGGATTGGTTCTCAAAGACCCAATTTGGATTTGAAACCCAATCTAAAAGTCTCCAGAAATTCAACTCAGGAAGGTACCTCAATAAAGCTATTAATAAAATGCTGCTTAAAATACAAATGCTCTTTTTTTTTTTTTCCCAGCTAGCTTTTCTTCTGCAAGCTGGCTTGGAATTTCACTGACAGCTTCATATAATTTAGCCCGAGGTACTTGCTTTTACTCACATGATGTTTTCCACTGTTTTGGGTTTAATAAAGATGGAGATGGGGTACAGCTGGGCAATCTGCAACCTCTTGATCGCATTACCAGAAACATCAAGAATGCAATGTTTACCCTAGAAAGCAAGAACGAGAAAGGAAAATGCCATTAAGCAGATTTCAAGTCACAGCTATGGATAGTACAAGAATTTAGAAGGGAACATGTGGCTCCACTGAAGCCAGTGAAATTGAGGCATCCACATTAATATTATCACAATTTCACCGCACCGCTCTGGGGTGCTGCGATCATCTAGCATGTGAGATGTCCTCAACTCTTCATCCTTCCTTCCTGCAGAGGTTACAGCCCAACCAACAACACTGGCTCATTCAAAGGACCAGCTTTATTTCAAGCTACCATCTTTTAGGGATGTGGCCATCTCACAGATTCACTTTAGACCAGAGCCAGATGACTAACTGAGCATATGTGAGTGAATAACCAGCACTGGTGCCACAGGAATTTGCCACTATCAGAATACTTAGAATTTACTACAATCCCTTTCCTTCCCCCACGTATCACGCTGTATCACCAGATTTGAGATGGTGAATGTTTGGACTGTTTTTTTAAAAAATTTTCAAAAAGATAAAATGAGAATCCTTTTAGGGCAGCTGGGACAGAACGCAGCTGCCTTTCCCTTGCCCTCTGTGCTCCCACTACAGGCAATTCTCTGGCTCTCAGAGGTTGTTCATGCCACAGGCTCTCTTTTCACAGCTCCTCATATCCTGACATCATTATCTCCTTTTCCTCCAAAGATTTTTCTTTTTTTCTCTGGGCAGCATACAAGTGATTTGGGAGAAATTCCTTTTACAGAGAGGAAAGGATGGGGAAGAGAGAAAATAAGAGAAGACAGCTCTTGGGTGACTAAAATCAGAAAAGCCTTTTCTTTAGGAGGAGATCTAGCAGAAACAGCAGAATTCTGAGAGCCAGGACACAGACCCACAAGCACCATAAAGCCACAGGTTGCTCATATTATGAAACACTCTTCTTGAACTCCTGCGAGTGCAATCCTTGGAAGACACAGTAAAAACGAAAGAAGCAGAAGCAATCTGAAACACTTGAAACATTTCTGTCCAAAGCAGAAGGGATCACTAGAATCATTTAGGTTTCATCTCTTGCACACTTAATTCCAGCAGCTCTTACAGAGTTATCTTCCAGCACAAACAATGCAGACCTTGCATTGCTGGGGACCAGCTGTTTCCCAGCTCCTCGGGAATCATGTCCATGGATTAGGATACTAACAGGTACCATCTAAGGTATTTGTATGCTGTAGCAGATTCTTTTACTACATTTGCTCACCTGTCCAAATCTTCCATACATTAACTCTTTTAAAGCAGCAAATGCCCTGAGAAACGCAAGAATGAATAACACTGCYTGGTCCATTTTCCATTCTGGGCACTTAGTATTTAAGGTACTGAAAAGATCCAACTGGCACGGATTTACCTTTTCTGCTACTTCTCGCACTGATTGCACACTTGTTCCATACAGATGATTATTGTACTGGCCAGCTTCAATGAATTTGTGATCCTGAATATCCTTCTCCATTTGCTCTCGAGAAGTGACAAAATGGTAATCACGTCCATCCACCTCATAATCTCGCTTTGGTCTTGTAGTATCTTTAGAGACAAAATACTAATTTTTAAAGAAAAGAAAAAAGACTTTTCCTCCTGTAATAGGCAAAAAACAATCTTCCATTTATACTTCAAAACTGTTATGAGCTGATAAACAATTAAAATAATCCTACAAAGCTTAGACAACAAAGTATTAACATTTTTTAACTCAACATACAGAGGATAAGTAAGGAGAATAATCCACTTAGAATTAATTTGGTACTTGCTGAGACTTACGTGGAACACATGAGCCAAATTTGTCTGGAAATTCTGAGATCAGATCATCATTTATCCTGTCTTTCATGGGTCCCAAAACAATCACAGGTCGAGTATAATTGACTATTAAACATAGAACAACAATATCAGTTACATTACAGCAGATTGCTAAGCTTTAAATTTCAGTAAAACAAGTTTTAATCTTGTTAAAGATTGACAAGATCAATACTCTCAAAGCAGATGGAGGGGAAATCAAATCAAAAAACACACTGAAGAATATGCAACAACTAATATTGAAGTCAAGGTGAGATACAAGATTTTCACCCTCAAAACACTACTCTAAGTGACTAAAAATCAGTTTTGCATTATGAAATCTTTGAAAAAATCGTTATTACACATAACAGTCTCTATTTGAATGAAAGCAGCAAAAGGAGAAATCTTAAAATCTTTAGGACAAGTTAAAGATACCTAATTATTATGTATTAGCCCACAGGAAGGCAATAATATCTATGTAACTCAGCATTAACATACGATTCCAGCTCCACCCATTTTATTTTTAGCTTGAATATGTCATTACTGCAGAAAAAGGCCCAGATTATATAAAGTTTGACCTATAAAACATGTTTTCATTTGACTTCTGAAAGCTAGTGCTGTACAAAGATACCAATAGATTGATTAAAAAATGTCTTGGATACAGTAACTATCAATCTATTAATTCAGTAACAAACATCTCTGCATAAAGGCTTGGGGTGGTTCACTAATTTCTCATCCATGATTTTATCAAAAGCTTGTCAAAATCGTAATTCATATGACCTAAATAATATAGCTGGTATTAGTCTTGAGCAACAAGCTACTGACCAAGTGGAGCCCAAGCACTAAACTCAACATGTTGGAGCAGAAAGTCTGTACATGCACGTTCAAATACAGTATTAAACGCACCTGGGCCAGACCACTCCTTGCATACAACAAAAATGAAGCTGTAACCCTCAAGACACACAGATACATGATATGTATTTACTTAAATTGCCACAATATTTTATATGGAATACATATCAACTATTCTCAAAAGACATCCCTTTTACAGATTAATTAAAAATATATGAACCCTGTATCACACCATGTAAACCAACTGTTCACATCTCTGAAGATGAATGGGAATAATAAAAAGGCTACACCCATTTGTACACAGTGAACAAAATGAGATGAAAAAGGAAGTGACAGGATCCCATCAGAAATTACAGAAAAATATAACATGTGATAGATCTTCTTCTATCTATTTCCATTTTGATGTTACTTCATTAGATGGATATGTCACCTGAAACACTCTGCTAATTCAGACAGCATTTATTTTATATTAAATGCGATCTACCAACCTTCTTGTTGATTGACCGGTTCATATGACAACACATATTCCTCTTGGCCGCCTAGAAATGTAAATGCAAAGAAATATCCATGTGTTATTTTCTAAACCAATATATTTAAATTGATTCCTTTAATGAACCATGATGAGATACGGGCATTGCGCAGCAAAATATACATAATAACGATGCAGGGCATTTTCCAAGAGCAATGAATTATAAAAAAAACCACACAGATAAGCCAAACAAAAATGGCAAAGCAGAGACACATACAGTAAAAATAATTTCTTTGGATGTGTTAGCATGTCAAGCTGACATYGAGCACAAGAACTTTAAAGCATTATTTAAATGCTGTTATAAATTTCTCCCTGAATAGATGCTTGCATGCTGTCATTCACTGCTAGAGGCAAAGCCACCTTCATTAGGAGCATTTTCCATACTATGATGTCAGTATTTAAATTAACTTTTTTATACTTTTTATACTAAGCTGAAAATCATGTTTGTCAAGGTATGCAATATGTTTTATGACCTTTTTCACTAACTGCCACTCATACAAAAACCTTTGACCACTCTAATTCTCCAAAATCCCCAAATTGTGATTATGTACACTAAATAACCCTGACTTTTTAAAGGTGAACTTCAAAACAAAGAATGCTTTGTGTTACTCTCAGTTTCAGAAAGCACGGAAGCAGTGAATGAAACTAAAATAAGTAAATTTTGACCCTTTAACAGCTGCAAGCTTTTCAAAAGCTGGTGAACGCATCTGAAATAKACCTCAGTTGCCATCTCTCTAAAAATATTTTTATTCCAATAAAAAGTCACAAAGGCAGATTTCTTGACTCCTAAAAGTAAATTCCATGATAGCAAAGAATTTAGAATTGATGATACAAGTTCAAACTCTACGTCATCACTGTGAACTTTGAATAGCGTCCCAAGGACTCCTTTGGGTAAATTTTGGAATGTACTTTGGAATTTGAGAGCCATACTCATAACAGGTAAAAGAACACATCATTCCATTGTTATACAGAAATAGATGGCAGGCCAAATCTTTTATAAATGCATAAATTGCGTATATGTATTTTATATTATACCAAGGCTAAGACAATGGACATTTTAATTCTGAACTTTACAATCTCATTAAAACTAATGAGATTGGGGTTATCTGCAATAAATCTGGGTTCAAACTGTATTACAGCAATACAGCAGCAAACATTTTTTTTTTCCCCCAATTATTGCAAGTGAGGAATATGTTAAGACAGACATGGAAACATGCAACCTGTATACCTTAGGATCTCAAGAAGTCACTCATGCAAATGGATTTCAGAAAGACAGTATATACTTTCAGAACCTCTTTTAGGCTAGGGAGAGGAGGAGTGGATCACTCAACTATCAACTCATCTACAAAAGATCCAGCTGACATGTAAATAACTACTTTTGGGGAGAAGTCACATCACTGCAAGGTCAGCAATTAATTAAGCAAAATGTTAAAGAGATAATAACAAGGATATAGCATCCCCTGATAGAGGGCAAAAAGTATATATTGTCACCGCTTTTCAATAATTTGGAAAAATGAAGATTAGAATGAACCTTTTGAACAACCGTACTCATCTGTAATCAAGATAACTTTCATATTAGAGAGCAGTAAGAAGAAATTAGAAGAATCATTTTAATAAAAGGTGCTTAGCATTACACATTCAGATAAGAAATCATATGACATTCATAATAAAATCATGGCTTTTCAAGTATTCTTGTCAAAAACCCCTACCTAGTGCTGCCAATAATGAGCTTCAAGGATAAATAAAAAGCTCTGACAAAAAAAMTCAAGAAAAATACTAGGAAAGCTATAAATTTAGGAAGAAACTATCATAGTGAGACAGTTTTAAAGTACCTTCTCACCTAAGTGATTAACTTAAAAATTTTAACAAAAGTGTGTGCATACACATATATGCATTTTTTAACGGCAATTTCAAGTCTACAGGACTATTAGCACTGTAAACACTGGGCAACTTTTGTGCTTACAAATTCTCTGCTCGAGTGTATTCACCAGTACGGAAAATTGCGCTGCAGCGCCTTGTCTCTGAGGGSATCGACAGCTCCCAACCAACTCCAGCTGCTGGAGAACATTCTCCTCATTGCCCCAGAACGAGAGCCTTTCCAGAGCACTCCTTTCTGCGGGAATGGGCAATCTGGAGCTGAGCAGCCACTACCAGCCTCACRCCAGGGGTGCTTCACTGCTCCCTCTCTCTCCAGCTCCACCAGCTTTTCCTCATGCTGCTCTGCTCCGTCCTGGATTCCAGGTGTGGGATCCGCAGCCTTGCTGAGAAGCTGCTGGCTGGAGCTCACCTGCAGAACTGCAGTTCACACTCGTCCAAGATAGGACTTTTTTCCACTTTTTTAACGACATTGCATAGAGGCATCACACAGCAAATTACCCGGTGTGAACATGTACTGCTGTTGCCATTGAGTAATAAAATTGCCAATTCAGTCTAGAAGTTAAAAGATATTACTTCTTCAAAAATGAGAGAGACGGCTCATCATGCTAATTTATCTGTAACTGACTCTTGCACTGAATGTGTTTTGTCTTTGAAGACAATTCAAGGCATCCATACTTAATAAAATTGGTTTAGTGAAAGCTGAAAAGCAAGGGTAGCAAATCAAGGGTAACACAGTTGCTCATTTAACTGTCATTAAAAGTGTCTACATATTAAATGTATCAGTTGTGAAAAGATGTAGGCAGAGTTACACTTTAGAAGTTACACAGTTTCGTTACACTCTCCACATTAACTAAAAAGAATTCTATTTCTCAAAATCAATCTGATTTCATTGGTATATCTATAGGCAGAGCAATTTTGCAGAACCCCAATGCACCCAAATAATACAGATTTCACCTGAACCTGACTGGGAAGTTTTACTGAACACACAAATACTGAGAAAAGACAGGCAAACAAACCAAAGGAAGAGGTTCTACATAAACCAGAAAACAGAAACCAGGGTTCTACATAAACAAAGAACTTAAAAACACTTACGGTAACTACTTTCACTATCGCTGGCATTAGAGGTTACATGCTCTGAAATTGCAACACAATGGAAAAAAATAAGGAACACACACTGATGGCATGAGTCCAAAAGAAAACAAATCGGCAAAAATAATTCAGATGAAAGACAATACTGAAACCACTGAAATGCTGAAATCAATACACAGTGCACATAAATGTTTGAAGGTACTGCTCATACCTCTCAGGATCAAGCTTAATTTCATACAAAAGGAATGGGTGTTAATAAAAAGAAAAAAAAAACATTAAATAACACATCAAAATAAGATTATGAAAAGTACACTAATTCATATTTCATTTGCAACCCTGTAATTTTGGTGTTTCCACTTCAAGATGATTTTGGTTGTGTAAAAGACATGAAATTATATTTTTAAATTATATTATTTAAGTAGGCAACTAGATAATTATATGAAGACTCCAGGAGCAGAGAATACTGGTAATATATTTCAGGAAATATTAAGTGGTATGTTCAATAATAGACACTATTCTATGGTATATTTAATAATTTATTGAAAGGGCAGTGCAAAATTAAAGGTTTTTTTTTTTTTTTTTTTTTTTTTCCCTAATTGACTTTTTCCTCCCAAAAATGCTTCAGTTCTCAAAAGTTCCTGCCTTTTACCCTGGAGTATAAATACAAATCTCCCACCTCTTTTATACTAATTAAAATATTTCACTGGCTATAGGATGCTTATATTTACTCTCTTTTTTGGGGGAGTTGTGTTTATAAGAGAACATAATAAATGAATATTTCACTTATGATAATAAAATCTAATGCAATTGAAGTATTTCCTGGTATCAATCTATTCTGACATCTGAAAATTGTACAAGTCTAGGGGGAGAAATACAGACTTTGATATTCCTGAACTTTATTGTAACAAATCCATTTCCATGCCATAAAATGACTATTTCTACTGATAGACAGTAGCATTTGCAAGTTGAGACTGTATAAAATAAACATTTGTTGATATAAACTAATTAAATACATAGCATCTTAAATTCAGTATGGTTCTTCTACTACAAGATTGAAGAGAGGGAAGCAAAGGGACCCTGAAGGAAGGAATAGATGGTATGAAAAAAGTTTGTTTTTAGTGATTAACAAGCATAATAAAATTGTTACTGGTATTCTAAGTAAATTGATTAACTTTTTTTTTTTTTTTTTTTTTTTTTTTTTTTAATTGAACCAATATGCTTAAAAGGCAAATCTTTGACTTGACTGAACTCTTTTACATTGTTTCCATGCAGGAAAGGCAAAGTGATATTTTCTATTACTTGTGAACAGCAGCAACTTGGACCTATTGCCATTTCACTATCTGCCTTAGAAAACAAACACCCACGTTGGTGTGGAGGATGAAAATTGTGCTGTTTAAAAGCCTGGTGGTAGGTAATGAAGGAATTTGCTTCCAAGGTAGACACTGGGCTAGTCAAGTAAAAATAATCAGTGCTGCAATAATTTCTTAAGAGGCACAACTTAAGAAGATGCAAGAGAAACCTGAGCACCAAAAACAGCATTGGTGTTGAACAGCCCAAAGCAGTATTAAGCAAGGTAAGGTAGTTTCAAGAAGTCTGGGCTGAACCTAAAGGCTAGAAGCAAACACTTGTTTGAGCAGCAGAATCACCACCAGGTGAAATTTCTAGATTGTGCTATAAAACTAGGCAGGATCATAAGGGTATGGGTATGAAGTCTCGTTATGGTTGGTATTTTGCTCCAGACCAAGAAATCTAATTGTAATCAGCCTCAGAAAAGTAATTTTGCATCTATCATTATTTCTGCTCAGTGATTTAGACCAGTACAGACGTGTGCCGCTTATTCCTCACAACTTGAGGAATATGGTGTGTAACAGAGTGTAAAGGAAGAATTAGGATCTGGGAGAAATATCATCTTTAGTGATATTTTTGGTATCGCATTAATGCATGACAGATTTAACATCTCTGATCAAAGCAAGGTCTCAATACCTTTACTTGACCTGTAATTTTAGTACAGTAGTGGTATCTGTGAGCACAAACAGGTCTGCTGGAGTCCTCAGCAGCTTTCAATCTTACTACTTCTACTTACTACTCATTATCTTCAATGAGATAGGAACATGTAGTTTTGCAGCCAATGCAACTATTGCTTATTGTCACCTCCCTAGGGGATCAACAGTCATTTAAGAGTATTCTGAGAGTTCAGATAAGTCAGAAAAGCCCTCAAGTTTTCTGTTAAAGTGTGTTTTTTTTTCTTTTTTAGKAGCTGTAAACATCAGTCACCCTAAACAGAGGGTTGAAAAAAGAAACTAGTTGAAAATGTCATAACATTATTRTAAAAAGACGTAGGTTATTTATAAAAATAAAAACACAAAACCAATGTAAAAATGACATCCAAAGCATATCAACAAATTTACAATCACAGCCTTTAACAAGCACAAACAGATGAGCATTAGTAAGCTTCCAAACCAACAAAAAAATAATCTTATGTGGTAACGTGAACTCAAAGATGTTCTTGAGAACAAAAACCCCCAGAATGTGACAAACTAGAAAAAGCTTATGAAACATTTTTAGAGTTAACCTCCTTCTGCCTGTAGAGCACCAGTCTCAAAGAGATCTGCTTAAAAAAAAAAAAAAAAAAAAAAAGGATCAGATGGAGGTTAAAGTAACTTGGGAGTATTTGGATCACTTACTCAGGCCTTTTGATCCCATGTCGTCAGGGACCTCCTGCAGAGTAGTCCCCAGAGGGCAAGCAATAAAAAGACAATCACAAAGAAAATAATTGTCAGTAATATATAAAATTGGCGCTACGACAGGAGACAGTTCCCTGAACATCACAGGGGTAGAAAAACCTATCGGGTTGATGCAGACCAGCACGTGAAGTGCAGTGGCTGAGGCACGTGGCAAAGGCGGCACTTCCCAATGGAGGCAACTGCATTTTCAAAAGTTTTTTTTTTTTTCTCTCCAGAATGGCCTGCCTTTTGCACACCCACTCTGAGGTGCCAGTTTGGCAAATGTTTTTCTTGGATGCTGCGAGTCCTTCTCGGAGGCACACGTGAGGAACCATCACTGCGAACATCGCRATCCTCTCCACCGGTGTAACATACGCCACCAGTGCACTCTGTTACCCAGTTAATGCCAAACTGGGAGGCTCCCGGGTTACAATTTCCTTGGGGAGCAAAGGTACTTGACTGATTTCCTTGATCCGGGGTGTCAAGGGCACCCCGGGTTCCTCGGCCTGTTGCAGCTCGTGAAACTGTCTCCATGGTAACACCCTAGTGCATCTAGGCGGCCCTTCTACGTGCGTTTGTTTGTCTGTCCGTCCGTGGGTTCCACATACTTACGGTCAATATCACTGGTTTCCTGCTCACTCTGGTCCTTGTTCTTGTAGAAGGGGAATTTTCGGGAAAAGAGGTTCTTTTTACGCTTGTCATTGAATGACTGCTGAAGAAGAGAAGGAGGGGCAAAACAAAGGATGTCTAATGGCTGTGTGAACAAAGGCCCAGGCCCAGCCCTGGGGAGCTGACTCCTACAACCACCTTCTGCAGCGCACAGACAACTCAACTGCAGCGCCTCAGCTCATCAGCGACAGAGATGGGCACCAGGGACTTGCTCACACCCTCTTTCACATGCTCACTACCAGGGCAAGTTGCCTTTCGCCTGTACAGTCTGCCCTACATGGCACAAACTTAAGCTTTTTGTGAGTGCAAAGAGAGGCAAACAATTAGGCTGCTAGGACAGCCAAAGCATGGTGAGCTCAAACAAAACCAATTAAATCACTGATATGATCTAAAGGAAAGGTTGCGATAACTAAAAACAAACCAAAAAAAAAAATCCCCAAAACGCCAAGGCTTTACACATGCTTTTGCAACAGCTGACATCATAACATCACAATAAAATTATTTCCCAGTTTTGCCTGTATGCAAAGGCAAAACTGTAAATACTTCGGTGATAACTAATAAATAACATACCACACAGAAAGGAAAAAGAAAGTTAAGAGCTGGCATTGCACTCAGTTACCTTAGGGTAAAACTAAAGAACATAAGAGTGAAATAGAAAAAAAAAAGAAAGCATGTCTAGCACTAAAAATCTGGGTTTTGCATTTGTTTCAGGCTCTCACAGTTGCAATTCATTACAAATTCATCAGAAGAAATGACTTTGCTTTAGGAAGTTGGCATCCCAATACCAATTTTCAAAAGATACCAACTTAGTTCACTCATTGAGGCAATTACTTTTCAGGAGGGTATTAAAGGAGACTATCACAGGAAAAAAAAAAAAGGATTTTATTCAGCATCATCTGATACTGACTATTTTAACTGCTGAAAAATTTCTCTAAGTGGATAGGAATTTTTCTCAAGTCGTGGGTGTATCTGAATTTAAACTACTATCATGTTCCTTGCCTAAGCGATGAAGAATTATGACTATATTTCCATATATATCCAAATGTATGTATACAGGTATTAGTAAGCCAACTTTTACTAGTATTTGTCATGTCTTCTCCTGACATTTTATTACTACACCACCTTTAGCTTGCAGTTCTATGAGAAGTAAATACAAAGAACCTTAATGCATAAATAAATCAGTAACACATTTTTATTGTAATGAGGCACAGCACTAACACAGCTAACCTGAAGCCAGCTGAAATCTGTTTTACAGCTAGGCATAAGTGAATCATCCAAATAGCTTTGCCAAGACATGAAGTTTGAAATAGCTGTGGCATCTGGCTTGCAGAAATGGTATTATTGGGGTGGATGCCAAAAGGAAGGGCCCACCTTGGCTCTGAGACCCTATGCAGCATAGGGAACATTAATTTCTAAGCCAAATACATCTGACATACAGCAAGAAGTCATAAAACTTCCACAGAATGGATTTTTTCAGTAGCTGCTTTTTAAAAGAACCAAGATACTTTCAAATCATAATGATTTAAAAATAGCTGCTAGTACAAAAGTGCAGCATGATACTTTTCAAACAATTGTGTCTTATTTAATCCTGCATGAGCTCATCTTTTCCCTGTTATATGCAATACGGTTGCAAAAACTATGCTTGCTGCCTTTTCTACCAGCATTTAGTATGGAATGACATCCAGGAGCAAGCAGGAGTGGCAGAGGACTAAACTTTTTCAAATGGTTGGACACTTCTCCCCAGTTAGCACTGGGCCTTCCTAAAGAAATGGCCACAACGCAACACCCTGGTTGCATCCTACTAGAGTTCTAACTTCCTTCTGGCCATTGGTTTTAGTAGAGATTTGCATGGAGTCACTGGATCCTGGAAAATACTCAGTGAGACTTTTACCACCACTGTTCAAAAATTTTACTTAAAATTACCAAGGTACAATGGGAGCTCAAGGGGCGATGACACTACTGAGCTCTGGAAACAGCAGTACTGAGTTAAATAGGAAACCCATAAAGCCTTTAACTGGCTCCTATCTGTGTTTCACTACATTTGGCACTCTACTGAAAGAACTGATGAAAGAAGTTTTAAAACTGACATATAGCCCCCCCAAAAAAAGAAGTGTCAAGCCAGGAATTACGACTGACTTAGGCAAGGTTTAAGGGTTTGGCCTTCTTGTGCCTCTACCTGACATCAACATATCATTGCAACTGATTTCTCATGCTCATAAACCTCMTAGTAATGTGCAGAATAAAGGCAACAAGGAAGTATGTCTAAAGGAGAAGATTTTTGCTGAGGATACTGAAAAGCCCTGTAATGTGAATTTCAATAGGTGAATGTCTTGCATCTGTATAATTGTCCCATAAATACAAGTACCTCAGTTCAGGCAAAAGAATAGAGGTGACAAGTGCAACAAAATTGAAATGGCAATTTAACTGAAGTGGCAAGTTTCTGCAATTTGGGAAACTAAAATAAAAGGAAGGAACTGCCAATTTATTGTATTTCATAAAACATAAACAGATTTATCTTAGTTTTGAAAATAGTTTGTAACACTAATTCTTCATTTTTGATTTTCTCTATAGTGAAACTTACTGAAATAACAGTTTTATATACTCCATGTATAATGTCACAGTCAGTTCCACTGGAAAAAGTGAGAAATTAGGAGAAATATTGTACCGACTTTGAATAMAAGATTAGCCAAAGGATTACTTATAAAAGATACTAGGATTATAACAAGATAAAGAGAACTGTTTATTAGCTGAAAATGCATACTAATGGTACTGAATTTTTCATTAGACCACTGCAAATCACCAAAAGGCATCACAAGCAAGAATACATTAAAACAGAAGCAGTACAGAAGGGAGCTAAATGTGCATAAGAAATGAAAAGCAAGAAAAAGAGATGGCCATCCAACTTCCTAAGTATTATTTGAAGTGAAGGAAAAAAGGATTTTAATTATATATAGAGTTATATTTTTATGTTTAATAAAGAAATTTTGAAGAATTGTTCACAGTTATTATTTTATATTGTCCATGAAGTATAATCACATGCCATGGAACAGAGAGAGTCCATGAAAATATTTGCCAGACAACTTATGGGGGAAAACATCATCACAACAAAAACAGGAAGAATACTTTAGAGAAGAAATGATAATGTTAAAACATTTACAGCTGAAGCAAAAGACTGTGAACAGCATTAAGCGTGTTGGCAAAATGAAGCGTTACTGAGAACAAGGAACTGCAGTTGTATATCAATGGCAAGCGTAGTTGCTTTTCCACTCCATATTCCATGCATTTTTGGTGCTATGTTAGTACACAACAACTGTGTACTAACACTGCTATTGTCAATAGGCTACTCCAAATAAATTTTAACTGTTCACAGTTCATCAGTGGACAAGATATCAAAATTTGCATTTATGCTTCAAAGGGCATTAAAACATTTCATTGATTATTTAATGTCATCAAAATAATCTTAGATATTTAAAGCATTTTCCTATATGTGACTTTCACCTACTGGGCATGCCAGGTAACACGTGAGTTTACCACTGTAAAACAAGTAATTTTTAAAATGCGAAAAGGTTACATCCCATAAAATAAAAACCGAATTCAAATATGTACATGACCAGCTTAAGAATTATCATATCAGTTGATAGAGGTATTTTTTGCAGTATGAAAATCTGAATGTACTAGTACATAAAAAAACCAAAAAGTCATTCAAAGGAATCGTAAAGGCAATACTGCAACTGCACTAAGAAAAGTCACTGGAGGTACTGGTTTCCCTTTCAGCGCATATTTATATAAGAATACTTAAAAATTTATTAAGTTATTAAATTGAAACCTTTACAATATGAGAAGACGAGTGCAAATACGAATCTAAGCATCTTTAATAAAGTATATCAAGATTAAAAATTGAAGTTTTAAAACTTGATCTGTATAAAGTTGTGATTTTAAAATTTATGAAATTAATATGACTAAGCTAGGCAACAAAACGGAATCTCTAAAATTTACAGTAGTTACTAATGTTACAGCATCAGCACTACTGGAAAAGTATCTATTTAAAAAATAGATTCCTCAAGAGCTGAAAGTATATCTTAAAAATTGGGCTATTTTACCATTATAAAATTGCTGTAACTTAGGTTACAGACATTTCCAGTGCCATAGAAGTCATCCTACTCCCTTCTCTTTACCAGTGACCCATCATAAATACTGGGACAGGCTTTCTGAATCATGCAGTAAACTGGACTACAAAGTTAATATTAAAAATCAAAATTTTAACTCAGATTTGTTTTGGAATGGGTTCTTTTTCACCTGAGCTGGTTACTTTATATGATCTGGGCACAGTCCTATCAGTACCTGTCTGAACACAGAAGAGGGGTGGAGAAGAGGACACAGTATCCTCTCTTCTCCTTAAAGGGGGCAAAAAAGAAACAAATCCCACAATGTGGTAGAATTTAATTTTAGCACTAAAATTGAAATTGAGCCTCCACATAAACCATGAAAAATGTTACTATAAACAGCAGCAAATGTAGTAAGCACTTCATCAACTCACCCCTTTATCTCCTCTTGTCTTGGAATTGAATTTCACTGTCTTTAACCGGGCTCGTTCTTTTTTCTCAACTCTACCAGAAAAGGATAACAGTTTAATTAGCGAAATTCCACCTTGAATATCAGACTGAATCTTGAACTAATAGAAGACAACAAGAACTCATCGCTAACTTCAACAAGAATTTTTGCTTTATTTTCTACTATTAGCTCTTCTTAGGGCTACCTCAAGCAACATCCGGGTCAGTAAACTTAAAAATATCAGCTGGCAATTAATGCATTCCAGCCATTCATAGTTGGGGGGTATTATCCTGATCACTAAAGTAATTGTGGTGTAAGTTACAGGTGTGTAAAAGGAAATGTCACTGGGATGGTCTGTATTCATAAGCTTTGCTTGCCCCCTAGAAGCTCAGATTAGGTACATTTGAGAGCAGGTTTGCACTCCTCTCCTAAGAGGACATACGGTGCTAAGAGGGAAGAAAGCCTCAAGTTCTTGAGGCTGGACTCAGGCAACAAGATCACACTGGTAGGATTTATAGTGCTATTTTAAATTAGATTTTTATCAAGCTATCAGGATAAACGAAAAAAAAGGTTCAATGCTGCAATCAAAAATTTAATAGTAAACATCTCAAAGTCAATATAAGTATCATTACGTACCTGCGTTTGCTTGGGATCACTCCAATTTCATCACTTTCGCCATCTGGAGTTACCTGCCGCGCCTGCCACCATTCATCATCAGAAGCATTAATGACATGGAGAATATCGCCAAATTTAAAGTTCAGTCCTTGACTCGGAAGGCCACTGTCTTTAGTCTTGTCATAATCAAAGAGAGCTCTATATTGAAAAAAAAAAAAAAAAGAAATAAAAATAAAACAACAGGAATATAATAGAGATGTATCAACTACAGAAAATTGGAAGTAAGCTGTGCTGTTTAAAAGTGGCCATATCATTTGGACTGTTGCTTAAGACAAATACTGAATACGCTCTCTCTTTATATATAATATATATTTATATACATATTTTAATATATTTATGCATAATATATAGAGTTACAACCACAGAGGATTTTATAATATACATATATAAATACATATACACACAAACAACATATGTTTTAACAAAGAGAAGAACAGAGTTGGCAAAGAGCAAAAGTTTCATATTTTGCAGAAAGTCAACAGGAATAGATACCTTCTGCAATTCAATGTGTACTTTGCATAAGGAAAATCACATATTTCCTGAGGAAGACAGCAGGAGACCAGTAAAGTATTTTAAGTATATTCTATTGTCAGAAGTTCCACAGCATTTGTCAGTTCATATCAATGATAAGTTAGAATTATTTTAGTTTAAAAAAAGACATGATCTAAGCACAGCCTAGACCCTATGGTACAAAAAGGCAACTAGATGTGCAGTCTTTTGGAACAYTTTCTACCATTTCTTAGAGAAAGTTAATTTTTTAAGGTCAGATTCCATTTCCAAATAATGGACACTAGCAGTACCTGAGCACCAAATGTCTGGCTACACTTTTAGCACCGTTTCTTTTGCTAGCAAGGCTGGTTTCTGCAGTTTCCACATCAGCCACAGCCACATTCCTTCAGCCTTCTACTGCTTCCTTTTTAGTTATGAGAGCACAACCGCCTGGAAAGGCACATGGTAAGGCATACTGGGGAACTAATGGGAGTTAAAACTACTTCTTTTCTCTTTGCTGGGTTATTTTAAATCTGGATCAGTTCCCTGAAGAGGTCTACAGCACATTTGTCTCAGCACAACAGAGAGTTTAGTGACGATGTGGAATGAGCAATGACAGGAATCCTTTTTTAACCAAACCTTGCAACCACAAGAGATGCTCCTAAAACTATACCTTATACAGGAGTCTAATTTTATCTTTGAAACTAGTACAGTAACAGATTTTGAAGTGAGAAGCTCCTGACACAGGCCAAAAAACTTCCATAACTCATTATTTCACTGGGGAGCTTTGGCAATAACCCACTTTCTGCATTTTGAGACTTGACACCAAGCCCACCATAAGTTTAGGGAAGTTGGGTCAATAGATCATTATGCTATGATTAAAATGATAAAAACGGTGTCTTCCTTGTCTGAGTTTTTTTAATTTCTTCTTCCAAACCACTAGGCCTAGGTGCCTTTTTCTCCTACACATTCAAACCCTCAGAATTTCTTTTACACATATAACTGTGCAAGCCTAGATTGTTTGCATCAAGCTCCATTTTAGATTTGTGAATTTTTTTTTTTGCCTTTTCTGAAGCACTGAACGTATTCTTTTAGATTGAGGCTTATTTGTTCCAAACTGATGATAATTACATGCTTACACTGAGATAATTGAACATTTTCAGTTCAATCAATTCATCTGTCCATAGAAGCACACAGTCTACTGCAGAATCAGAGCTGGCCGCGATACCATGTCTTTTGGGGGTCACAAGAAGTCTCAAAAGTTCTTCACTGCATTTTCATTTTAATGAATTACTTTAATGCATTCAAAAACTAATTATTTCCTGAGTTTTTCTGTTAGCATTCAAGCAATGATTTCTCCCAGCACTGCTTTTAAGATTAGTTTCGATATAGACTTGTAAGAACACTGCTCTGTGCCAAAAAACATTCCTCCGCCTGCTTACTGCATGAGAAGATAAGGAAATTATACAAGAGCAAAATGTCAGAAGGACACAAAAGGATAAAATGCACTTAATCTTAAAAATATATTCTCTTTCAACTAGATAAAGAGTTGCACAGTTAGGTTTTGCATAATGAAAGGCAGTTTCATCAAAAACATTTGCTGTGTCGAAGTCATTGCAAGAAAAATCATTTTAATGAGGGGGAAAAAGTGAAAACATAAATATGAATTAATGACAAAATTATGCAGCTAAAAATTAGARAAAAAACAGAAACTGGCAACAATCAGACAAATCAGCCAAATGACAAACAATTAACAAAAAATTTTTTTCCATTCCAACTGTTTAYGTACAGATGGCTTTTCCCATATGCCTGAGAAGTCATCAAATGGGAACTAATTTCACACCCCAGACTACATAATTATCTGCACGAAAGTATTTAACACACCTGTTGTTTATCAACTCCTATATGGAGACATATTACAGGACAATAACACTACATACACCTTTATTTCATCTAAGTTACAAACAAATTTATTTAAAAGCCTGACACTTCTGATTAACATTGCTTTGGATCTTCTTCTACCATATTCACCCTATCATTTATTTCTATTTAAGTTAAATGAGAAGTCCTATAATTATTTCAGGTAAAGCATACAATCATTTCCTTTGATTTCACCCTTTTATTACTCAGCAGCAAAACTGCACAAGAGGTAAGCAGATGCCTCCAGTTGTAAGCCTACAGAAAACAAAGTTAATTTAGATGAACAAACTTGATGAACGTCTAGGCTTTTAATGACTGTATGTTAACACTGTTAAATTTTCCAAAATACTTTTTTACCTGTTCATGTTCTCTACTTTTAATACCACAGATTATTGCTTAAGTGTTTTTGAAGCAATTATTATTTTAAAGTATTCATGCTGAACAAAAGARCATGATTCCTGTAACAGCAGGAATATCCCTAGGACATATTTTGTGAAACATAATATTACCATTCCAGCAAGAAGCAGATGAACTTATAAAGAAGTTTCTCTTCCTGTTTTTTTGGGGGAAGATGTTTCAGACTAGATGTTTGAAGCATCAGAACTATGCAGAGATGCACAACCTTATACCTCCTGCACATGAGTGCACATTTCAGGCACACTGGCAATAATAGTCCTTATTTTTCAATGGACCTAGTTAGAATTTCCTAATGATTTCAGAATGGTGAAGTTCCTTCCACTTGGAGATATCATCACCTTCTATTCTCATTCAAGCAGAAATCAGCATCATGATTTAAATTTGTACTGTGTCATGCTGATTACAAGAATGTAGAGCTAAACATAATTTCCATATCTGAATAATAAACACATTGCACAGATTGTGATTTGACACAGAAGAGGAGGTAAAATRTGGGAAAATAAATGCCTAAGAATACATCATCAAAAATCTTGATATACCTTGACTAATTCTCACTTTTTCATATTTGCTCTATGAATTTGCAGGAAAAAGAGTTCAGATGCAAGAAGGGAAACATCCAAAGAGAAAATGTCTCTTGAAGGGGACTTCAAGATCAAAAGAACTATAAAATTACAATCGTAAGGACAGTAACAGTGTATCTTAATTAGTCAATGGAGAGACAGAATTACAGTATTTATATTGTCSTCTAAGGGTATTTGTTATATTGATATTTATCATATATTGAGATCTATACAATTAAGAAGAAAAATCTGTCGTTTGATTTTAAATCATCTCTTCAGTGCAATACAATTGCCTTTCCCCTAACACTAGCTAACACATTCAAAAAATAGTTTATAAGGAGATTAATTCATAAAGGCACCATGCTTCACCTATGGAGACTCAGTGGGGCACCTGATTTTGTTTGCTGTTGCTACCATGATTTTTAGAAATCACCATAGATTATTGCACAGAAGGTGAATATTTTGTTTAACTGGTTTTCCATAGTTGCAGGTGACTGTCTATAAACATTTTACAAYTGGACTAACCACTTAAAATTCAATCCAGCATCATGTTATGTAACTTAAACCCTTTAAGGCACATCTAAAAGCATGCAGTACAGAAAAAGGGTATCTGTAGTTACTAAAATTGGCTAAATTCAAGATACAAAATGACCATACCCAAGAGGCTCAGCAGACCCATGCTGGGTCTAGGTTCTTCGCCTACCGGTCGCTGGCAGCCCTCCTCMCGGTACAGTGACGAGGGCAGAAGCCCTGGCAGCACCTTCCCAAAGCGGGAAGGACGTTGTCCCTAAGCACGTCACCTCAGCACTCAGTGGCACTGCAGCAGTACATATGTTTAACACCTACTAAATGTTCAAATTGCTTACGGAGCTTTGCGGCACAGTGCCCCTCACTGGCAGTATCTACCTGGTGACTGGTGCTTACCTCAAAGCTACAACCTGACCTAAATCAAAGAAATCTAAATTTATATGGTATAGAGGGAGCCAGAAATATCCCAGGAAAGATGAAGCAATATTGTGGCAGCCCTCCAACAGGGCGTACATCAGTTTAGCATCCTTTCTAATAATGGCATGGGGAGTAAAAGCAGCTCCTTTGCACCCTGGGCTGTCCCTCCTGCACAGGGCACCTTGCTTGCACGCTGCACAGCGACACCTTATACATCGTTAATCCGGCTCACGTTTTTGATTCATTTCTCTGGAGAGCCAGGAGACAGGAGCTGTTCCGGGTAGCGCTCGCAACAGGAGGAAGCAAGAGCATCTGAGCCCAAGATTTCAGCAGGGGAGCCCAACAGGGAGGTCCTGCAAGTTCCTCAGTCCCTGCAGAGCCAGCCCTGCTGAGGTGCCACCTCCCTGCTAGCCCAGCCCAGCCTCCCCCAGGAGCTGCCCCTCTCCCAGCCCTGGGGTGAGCAGGCTCAGGGAACTCAACCAGGAGCAAACAACTCGCTACTGCTGGGTGCGCTGAACACTGTCCTTAGTGGTGTTTGCCTCAATTTACATTGTATAAATGATAGTTTAAACAAAAARTCATTTTATACTCTTTTAAATATAACCAGTCAATAGAAATGATAGTTACAAAAATATATATATATATTTTTGTTCTTATATGAACATATTAACAACACTGACTCAGAATAGTAACTCCAAAAAAATGTTTTTTAAAAAGGCAGTCTTTTTACCCGCACTTCAAATGCCATGCATTATTAGCACATGAGAAGTGACACAGGATTTTAGTTGCATATTAATGAGCTGCATCAGGCCATGAATTTCTGGTGAACCTCTTCTTTAATTGCTTCACRCTTTTTTATAGTTCCACTCTCTTCTGGCCTCACTTAAGCTTAATTCTATATGAATAAATTAATGAGGAATATTTATATTAAAGGCTTTGCTTTTTCCAATGCAATTGCCCTCTTGGTTGTCAAGGAAATTAYACCATAAGAAAACATTATCAGCTGTAGAAATGGTATTTGTTAATGCAAGCTGGAAATGCAACTATATCAAGTTGAAGTAAAGGGATATTATAAAAGTAGACTGATGAACTGAACAAAGGTTAGGATATGAAAAAACTAAAAAGACAAACCGACATAAGCAAGTTAGTAAAACTTCATTCAGTCTGACTTTAAAATAAATATATAAAAAATAGGCTTTTTTATTACTAAGAGAGGATAAAAAGCAGACAATAGCATAGCATTTCAAAGTTCATACAGTGCTCTCAAGAGATACTACTTCTTTTTCCAGCTTTATTACATAAATCATAAACCAAATCAAGCCTAATTTTTACCATATATCCACCATAATTAATATATTCCCAAATTTAAGTTCAGTAAGCGTTTAAAAACTCAAGTACAGAAACATGCAGTCTATCAGAAAGCAGACAAACACATATCATGGCCAAGAGGATGACTACCTGACATAAAGCGATCTCTTCTGGCTGGTTCGCAATGATCCTGACCCGGAACTAATGCTACTGTTCATCATTTGCTCCCGTAAATCATGTATTTTAGCTTCAAAACGACTGTATTCTGTAAGAAGGAGAAACACTGAAATTAATTTCTAGATTTCTGATTGATTTCTTGCAATTGATTGCTTGAATTTCAGCAACTATAGCATTCACACAAATGTTGAACATCTAAGAAAATAAGCATTTATTACTGTTGTAATTCAAGAAAGGCTTTCAAACAACAATGTTTTTCTTAAGGACTTTTGTAATTATAAAAAAACCTAAGTCCTTACATTTACCAACATTAACTGAAATAGAATTTGAAAGAACTTGGAAGAAACAAAGCAAAAACACAGCAAGATATCCATTAAGGACTTCACATTTTTCAATATACAGTTGACAGTGACTATTTTTCACAATTAAAACAATTTAGCTTACAATCATCACTTTCAAAGTAACAAAAAGACTGATGTAGACACATTTTAACTCATTACAAAAGAAAACAGCAGAACATATTTGAAATACGCTTATCACAAAGAATTATGTACTTTATATGTAAAAAGTGGGAGTTAAGGGCTGAAAAACAGCRCTAAATAGAAATTTTGGACTTTAATCAGACACAGAATTTAATGCTACCAGGTGGGAAATAGGCAAAATATTTTTTTGAATAATATCCTCAATGGATCTTAAAAAAGGATCAAAAGCATAGAATTCTGGCATGAGTCTCAACCCATCTGTAAAAGGCATTAGACACTCAAACTCCCTTTACATGCTTACGTACGGCGCTAATCCTGGCAAAACGGATTGTGTTCTTAAGCAGCACTGCACACTAACAAAACTAAGCTAAAGGCAWTTGACTTTAGGTACAAAGACAGGCAGTAAAAGAGTAAGAGCTTCTTCAGGAAAAACATTTCCTGAAGGCAGGTACTTACATGCTGTCAGCATAACATAGGAACTCAAAACAAGTAAATTTTTCCTTCTGTTGACTAGTTTAGACTTCAGGATCAACAGATCCACATCTCAGAGCTTTCTAAAGAAATGCTCTACAGCCACCACCTTCTCGAGGAGCCCACGTGACACGAGATTATAACGAGTGAACACGGGCAGAGCTTGGGTGTGAGCAACAAGCAGCTGCTCAACGGGATCCGTTCACGCCGTCCTTTCTGCTGCACCCTCACTCTTTGTGGGCACTGACTTTAACTCCAGAAATGCAAGGCTGAAAGAGGGCTTTAAACTACAAAAACCTCAAGGAAATTTCTGTTAACTTTCCTTTAACACTCGTAATCAATATGACAAACGTGGTGCTTTAATACCATGAATGATTGATCATGGCACATTCTGTAGCATTTTATCCCCACAAACTCAGACAATGACTACCAGGATTTGTAGATTAGCCAGAGAGGGGAAAAAGAAACACAATATTACATACATTATAGATGAGCATGTCATGGACTAGTTTCTGGCATACCATTTCATTCATCAACTATAAAGCTGATGTCCTAGCAGTAACAGTTATAACTAAGCCTATTCAGACTATGACAATAGGGAGTTCCTTCTGTTGTCCTGACTTGGGTCCTTYAATATTGAAAGCTAGTGGTTTTTAAGACATTACACCTTAGTTTTTCGAAATACTGTCAAATGCCTTTGTACAAATGAAGTCCAGATAAAATAATTTACATCATCACTAATACAGACAGATGTAGGTGAGGGGAAAAAAGCTTCCACCACTATTCATACTCTCACCAGCAGCAGCAGAACTCAAGATGACAGAACGGTTCCCAAAGAGGTAAGTGGGAAAACAATGATCTTTAGAAGACAACATCCTCCAGAGGAAGGGCCCAGAGGCAGAGGGAATAGATCTATTCTGGCCCTGCTCCTGCAGCACCACATGGCCTCAGGCAAGACACTTCATTTGTACTTCACTGTGGTTCTCCTCCTTCCACAGCAGCTGGTCTTAATTACTCAGATGATAAATCCTCAGAGAGCCATCCCCTTTGTATGAAAATAATCTGACCAACATTTCAGAGAGCACTTGCATACCTCCAGTTAATTTGTACAAATGTGTATGTTCATATTATAATCCTGCTTAACAGCTGTTACCTCCCTTTCACAGCTGAAAGTTGTGTAACAATGACTGAAAGGAAAGCAATTTCATCTTCAGGTGACAACAAAGCTATTTGCTTATCAGGAAACACACATGAAAATATCATCTTCATACAGGAAAAGGTTAAACAATACAAAAAGTTTTCATAAAGTTTAAACAAGTGAGAAAAAAAGACCCTTCTCTTTAGTCTCTTTCTCCAAACAAGAGGCACCCACACTGGAGAAGGGCTAAAAGCCTAAGGTTAAGCACAAGGAACCCCTAAGGTAAAGGAGAAAGTGCCAGTCCTTATGATTAGCCTGAATGCTGCCTGGAAGGAGGTCTTCTAAGCATGATCACCCTAACCATGGTCAATGGTACCTACTGTGGGTAGGATGGACCTTTATTAATTTTCAACTTATAAATTCCCTAGCAGTAATTCAGTGTACCACAAGCTAAATCTTTAATTTCTGACATACTAATACTTTCTGACTAAAACATAATTTGYCTCCAAAGCCTTAACTTTTTCTTATCAAACAGAAGTTGCATCACAGAAAAATAAAAAAAAACTGATTCTGCAGTAATTTTTTCCTTCATTTCTCATTAGCCTCACTTCATTTTCCTCTCTATTAGCAGAACCATAACAATTCTATTCTTTAAAAGCTTTTATATGTAAATAACATGTCACATCAACACTGCTAATCTTCATCTTTCTTTGCCCAGTATCACTCAGAAGACACAGACAAGTTTGCACTTAAGACCTCCAGGCACCTTTGCTGTTGATTTACATGGTTACACTGCTCTGTTCACTAAAGAAGTTATTGTCAAAACAAAACAGCTTATCAGGAGCTGGAGGTGGCTGTATATTCAAAAGTTATTCGGTTCATGAGGAAGTTCTCAGACTGGCTGCCAGAAAAGCTGTGTTGTGTGAATGTGAACATAACTGTCACAGTAAAGAATTGCATTTCACTTGAGAAATGATCTTTTAAGTCTTTCACTTTTTTTTTTTTTTCTTAAGTGCTAAGTTCTAAGCATCCTACAAGAATGGCAGTGTGGATTCTAACATACAAGGGGTTTTTTTCAGTGTGAAATAAAAGTAAGGATGGAAAACATTAGGTAATCCAAGCATTTTCTTGTGCTACCGCCTGTTCACGTTCTAAAATATCTGCAGTTCCTCGCACCAACTGTCAGAAAAGACTGTAAGTTTCAGTTAAAGTCGTCTCATCTTGGAAGAATCAGATTTCCTCCAATACAGTGAGTAAAACAGCATATACAGTGGAAACTAGTGCTCAGTACTGCTCAGTTCTACTTCATTGTACGCTGCAAGTTGCTGCTGTCACAGCTTTCTAGAATAACTCAATTTCTCTCATCAGACCTCCTGGGAAATAAGTGATGAATAAGAGACAGGGGCATCTATAGCACGAAGGAGGAGAGCACTTTCTACAGAGAGGCTCCTGACACAGCAGAAAAACCARAAGAAACTAACGGGCTACAACTTAGAAGGTTCTAATATTCAAGAACAAAGAGTACCAAGAAGTGCCATGTTTAGAAGCTTAAAAGCCCACGGAGATAGAATGTGCCGAGCCCCTTCMCAGTTTACTGGCGGAGAACAAACTGAGAATTTGAACCATGCTTCTCTTGCACAAGCTCTTGGAAAGASCTGGATGGAAAAGCACCTCCAACAATCACCAAGTCTAGACCAAAACGCAAGCAGGATTTTCTTCTTTAAGGTCCTGAAAAGTCTGATATTAAACAGAGTGAAACTGAAACTAATGCTGGAAACAAGATACACAACAAGACTCTCGACAGCATCAGAAGACCAGCGAGTGTGGAATGCAGAAGATCAGCATCCTCCCTGCTGACAAACAGACTCTTTGCCTAATTAGCCATGGTTCAGCTTGGGCACTGTGGAGCTCTATAAAAGCTCTGTGATTAGGAAGAGTTGGWCAGCAGTTGTCTTCAGCATCTTCCATTACAGAAAAGAACAGTGACATCATGTGATAGCATATGAAATGCAGAAAAAAAAGTTGCAGGACAACAGGCAGAGAAGTGGCCGCAGCTGCTCTGCCCTATGAGCTCTACAGCAGGGGACACTGACAGCCAGCAGCTGGTAGCAAGACTTGAAACCCCACTGGAGACTTGGACCAGATACGCGACCCATATGAAGTACAACTCCATCGCATTTAGCAGAAATACCCTCAAACATGTATGTTTTTAAACAATCTCTTCAGTAATCTCTTCTGTGTTTAATAAATTGCAAATAAATTGCACAGAAATAGTATTAAAATAACATCATAAGAACAATGGTATCTTTTTAGTGACTCATATTTTTCCGAAGTTTCCAACAAGTTTATTAGTGAGATGGTACTTACTGTCATAACATGAAGCTGGAGCCAGCAGAAAAATGTGTTGCTTCAGTTCATGACAGCAGCAATACTCCTCCACTCCCCCGAATAAAAACATCACACCCAACCTTGATTTACACTTATTTGGTTGTTAGGAAGGTCAGGTGCTTACATTCAGGTTCAAGTTTAAATCTTAAAATTACATTTGACAAGCAGATGCTGCAGAACTGAAAATAAAAAATCTGTTTTTTGCTTCGTTTTGATTTTTTTTTTTCTGTCTGCAGGCATATTAAGCAGCAGCAGCAGAAAAAAAAGAGAAGAGGAGGGACTGCTTCAGAAATCTTGAAAGGCTCCTCTGCTCCACAGCCCCTAAGGTGATATTGCCTAGAAAATTACAAATACTTCCAATAACTTCTACTTCAACAGAATTCAAACTTCTGGAGAAAAAGGCTGAGCTGTGAAGTACTCATGACCACCCACCTCATGAGCAAAATGAGGACAGTGCTAGACAGATGTACAGCAAATAGTCTATACAAAGGGGAAGGAGAAAAAGGGTTGCAATGACAGTTCATTTGGTCTGGACCACACATCCTGGCAAAGGAGAGCAAAGGAGCAGCAGACTACCACAAAGGATGGAAGTTAAACAGGCTGAGAGCACAGAAGGAAAAGTAAGTCACAGAAAGGAGGAGGTGGGAGTCACAAGGAACAGATGGCAGCAAGGCACTGAGAAAGAGAGATCCYTATATACACCGAGGCTGCTAAGAACCTGAAAATGTTCCGTTCAGTTAAAAAAAGTATACTCCTTGCTTTCCTTCTCCCATCTGTCTGTGGGAAGCCCTCCTTCAGCAGGCCTCGGTACATCTATCAAAGTGGCTCTCCTTTGCTGGGAGCTATCTACTGCTTTTCTTTTCTACTCTCCAAATAGTCATCATTTTCTCCTCTCATGCTGCCTACAGACCATGAGAAATGGAGCCTGGCGGTGAGTTATGATGACCACCACACTGATCTAGCATGGATCTTCCATTTGTTTTCCSGTCTAAGCCTTTGAAGCAGGACTGGCTCATTTGAGTCCAGAACAGCATGTAGCAAAGCCAAAGATATTTATGAGCTTTAGTTGTGTGTCTCTTGATTACTAAGGCATTTTTCACAAATCCATAGGTACCATTCATGTTTTGCATACCCTTTTCCATCAAAGTATTATATGAATCTTTGTACAGAGACTGTGGCGTATATCATGCTTAGTATAATGACACTAAGAAAGAATCTATTAAAATGTATGGATTAAAAAGCCACCAGAAAACCTTTCTGAGGAGCAATTAATCTACTTCATGGCTAGGCTCTTTATATTAACATGAACTAAGAGAGACCGCAATACATTCCACACAGTTCTGGTGGCTTTTACGCATCCTGGTGGGTAATGAGCTTTTACTTCATTCATCGCTTGAAAGACCAGGYCACACAATTTCAAAGCAGTCAGAAAAATGGTATTTACCTTTAGTTAAGAACTCCTTCCACAAACCTTGAAAAATTCATAATGAGAATAGGTCTAGTCCCTGCTGAAGTGAAGACTTTTTCCCCCCTCTTTCCTCTTAAGGGCTGAAGTGAAGTTTTAAAGGATTAAAAACATGTTTAAATCGTCTTATAGTACTGTCTGGCAGCACTATTTATAACAGAATCCTTCTTATAATCTTAATGGTACAGATTTTAAAGGTACTTTAACTAGCTAACCTGGATTACTTGCAAATGAGTAGATTCAGGTACAAAACAAGTAGGGGAAAAAAACTGGAACACATGAGACTGCCTTCCCCACAAACCCCTTGTCCAGCCCCTTGCCCAGTAAACCCAGACAGTCTGGGAGTTTTCYGTTCTGGGGGGTGCTGATCTCATCAATCACTCCTGGTTAGGACAGCCCATGTTCTCAGCAAAAAGCAAGTGAAGCTCATCCATCTGATATGAAATAAAACAAAATCTTAGCTTTGTAAAGCCATTATTGGAGTTATTTCTGTACTCTATATGTTATACTCTATTATTGGTTACTCTAGCTGCAGTTATACTCTATAAAAGCAGAATTTAGACAACAGCTCAGGAAAAATGCTCAGAAAATAAACTTAGCTTCTATGTACRAAAGTGGTAGCAGTTTCTAGAGTTTAAGTTATTCCAGTTGCTTTAAATGTCACCAGGAAGCAGTGCAGCAATAAATATGACACAAACAGAAAAACTGGCTCAATACTGGCCAATGAAAACAAACTCTAAACAAAGCYTTTTCTTTTTAACTTTTTCTTTTAAGAGACATTTGTTTTAAAGAGAAAAAGATATAAAATATTAAGCTGTTACACTGGAATCTTTCCAGTAGATATATTCCTCCAAAAGAAAAACATATCATTTGCTTTACAGATCACCAGGAATTTTGATTAAACTATTGTACTGTATTGAATACATTTTCCACAGAGAATCAGTTGCATTTTCTTAAATAAATCTGAGAGAGCATGCATAGACTGCATGCATTTGAACAACACAACCTCAGAAGCAGCATTTCTACAAAAAAACCTTAAATCTTCTCTGGAGGACTTGGCTTTTCCTAATTTCACTGATCTGGCTAATTTGATCGCCTGCCTTGCCTGCCTCTCAGCAAAGCAGAGGAGATGCACCACAACGGACTGCATCAGCTGAATTACAAAAGGAAGACAAATGCAGATTTTAAATTCCAAGCAGGCACCTGAACACTCGCATTAGAGAAGACTACAATATTCGTTACGATCATCCTTTTATCATGGTATATCAAGTGGATCCTTGGCAAAAGGAAGGTGCCACTATCCCTTCCTGCCATTACAAGTTGCTTGGAATTCTGCCCATTTTGGGAAAAGGGTCAGGTAATCTATGAACAAATTGCTGGTGACAATGTCTGCTGCCTGCAGCCTCATGCTTTCTCTTCCAAGGCTGCTCAATTATTGTGCATGCAATGATCAGTAATATAACATGGGTACTTAACTGCCCAGTTCTGATCTGGAATAACTAAGGAAAAACAAATGAAGTATCATTTGGCTTGTAAAACAAACGCCTGGTCCAAGCTGGAGAAACAGGTTCAAAAGCAGGACAACAAAATAAGAACAACTGCAAGTTGCCCAACACTTCTGTAAAGTGTCCCCATCACCCAGTGTCCCCTCATCCATTAATGTTTTTCCAGGTTACTCGGACTTTTCAGTGAGGATCTTTTCCAAGACCCTCTTTTTCCAAAGCCCACAGGTGAAAGACAAGCAGGGAATTTCTGATACAATTAATGTGGTAGGATGTTACAGCAGACATCAGCACTCCCCATCAAATCTATGAACATACAAGCTGTCATGTACAATTATAGGTAGTGATGTGAACCAGTCCCAAATGTCTTCCAAACGCTCTTATCATAGTGAATCTATTTACTCAGTTATAATGAGCACTGATGGATGTCTAGAGTCTCCTTGATCTGTCCTAGCTGTCAGCAACTGTCAAGTCCTGCTGGAACCATGCATGTAAGTAACATACATGAACAACGCAAACAGTTCTAACTGAAGCTCAAATAAACTGATGTCTTTCCTCTTTGGAAAGGTATCTAGGAAAGACTGAAGACTAACAATAATTTTATGAGCTGTCATTTTAGTATTTTTTAACCTTTATTTGAATGGCATCAAAATAGATATATGCAGATCACTTACCAAGYTCACTGGAAAAAAGTGAAAAAGCCAGGGGGAAAACATGACAGCTGTAACTAGTTGTAACTTAGGAAATTTGAAGACCAACTACATATACATCTACCAAATGCATTCAACATGAAGATTAGCAGGATCATATTTTCCATTTAGAAAATCTAATCTCAGCTAGACTGCTTGCCTCTAAGAGATAAAAATCTTCAAGAAAATATTCTTTCTTTACTACTCCCTAATCTACAAAGAGTAAGTATTTGATCCAAGTTACTTTCTACACCAGGCCCAAAAGAAGCTGATAGCTGGAGGTACTTTCAGCTTCTCTCTTTGACTACAAGTCAGATATTAGTAACTAGAGCTCTGAGACATCCTGTTCATGTGTCAAAAATGAGAAAGTATCATTTGGCTTCTGTAGAACCYGTAAAGATTAGGATACTCAGCATAACTGCAGTCTAATCTGGATCAGAAGAAATTACTGGATAAATACCAGCTCAGTATGAAACAGAGAACAAAATCCTGCTTCCTCAAGGCAGCTGAATCAACACAACAGAAAAAGAATTCATCTTTTATCCTTCTGCTACTARGAAGGGAAAAAATAAAACACCCACACAATGATGGAAGGATGAAGACAACAGTGAAACAGAAACAATAATGTGGTATTTCTATTAAGTTCTGAATTTTCTGGCCTGTTTTTTTCACTGTGTGTCATGACAGTGTGTCAACTTTTACCAAAAAAGTCAAACCTTCTGAAGATGATCTAAGCAAACACGAATATGAACAAGCTGTGGCATCAACTCCTGCAGATGTCCCTATGTGGTCACTTGCAACTATGCTGAGAGAGGCAYGGATCTAGATACAGCATGTTATGGTTTCTTCTTTCCTTTGAACAGGGATGAGGCAGTGGAGGGGCTTTCTCACCTTCTGGACGGTACTGAGCAACAATAGTTACTGCTTGGCCTGCATTCTTCAGGGCTGCTGCTGCTTGCTCATGGGTTGCTGCTTTAAGGTCTACCCCATTCACCTACGAATAATACCAAAGAAAAATGTTTTAATTTATCATTATCATGGAATATAGTCACATGAACAASAATGAACTGAATACAAAATAGTTTCCAGGACACATGAGATTTTCCTGTTTCCAACATTGCAATTCAGTTAACACAAACAATGATTATTGATCTTTACTGAAGTTCAAATAAACAATTATGAGAAGAAACATTGTAGAAGGCCTAACATATCACATCCCGAATTTGTATCGTTACACCTAATCATCTTCCTGAAGATCTACATTCTTTTTAAAAACACACAGAGAAAAATATTCTGTGGTCACCACCTCTTCTTTCTTTAATAGCCACTTAGGAACTTCCTACAGGAAGGCCAAAGCTTACCTATATACGGCGACATTCAGCAGACAGAGACAGTTTCATATTACATGAAACTGCCTTTGTTTTCAGTGTATTAGATACAAAAATGTTGGAGGGAAGAAAAAAACAAACAAGAAACCCCCACACACGAAGCTGACCCTCCCCAAAACACAAAATACTGATACAGAAGTTCATCTAACAGTAACAGGGAAAAAGTTCCCTTCAAACCCCCTAGCCCTCACCTTAAATAGCTACTAAAACACATCTGAAATGCCCTAGGATTTTATTCTTCATGAACTAAATCACTTTAAGGAAAAAAAATGTGCAAAACCTTTACAATTTTCAGTACTAGCAAGCAGAAGAGCCTCTCAGGCAGGGCTGAGAAGGGTCTTACTGTGCAGGGAGTTCAGCAGATACTCCAGAAAGCAAAGCACCATCTTTCCCACACTACTGATCAATATCTCCACCTTGTTAAAAGGCTCGTTTCTAAAGGCTGAAACCTTTTAATTTAGGCATATACACCCTGACTACCAGACTTAGACCTGATAAGCTTTAAGAGAAAACAAGCATCTCTGAGGTAGGAAAGTGCTGTTTCCATCAGGTTATAGACTAAAGACATTGACAGACAAAAGCTTCAAAGGTATTTTGAAATATAGGAGTAACTATTCCATTGTCTCAAATTTAGCATAGTTAATGAGATTCTTCTGCATATAATCCATATTAATTCATATGCAGGAAGAGGGTGATTTTTCTAATTAATAAGAAAGAAGCAGCAAGGAATCCTACTGAAATTATACGATCTCCTTTCCTAAGCTCTCCACTCAGGTCAGCAGGTCCTCCAGCAAGGATGAAAGAGATGAAAATTCCTTCTCCATCTTCTCCTCCAACAATGTTGAAACCAAGACCTGTTGATCCTCGATGCAGGACAACTTTCCTAGGCTCCCTGGAGCAAAAAAGAAAAAAACAACAAGAAAAATACAGAGTCTTGGTCATTAGTCATGAAAATCATAGAATAAAGTAATGATTTAACAGTTCAAGAGCCTTACTCAAGAGCCTTGGTATTACTCTTCCACGCACTTTTCTTCATCTCTCACCCCTCCAAAATGACATGGGGCAGAGCAATAAAATGGCTATGGCCCAATAGGAAAGTAGAGCCCTGTGACTACTGCACACCTGTAGAAAATCCCAGACTTGCATTCTTTCCCACAACATCATAGGAAGTTTGGCCTAGAAGTCTTTATCTCAATTTCCTCCCTTCTACAATACTTCAAGATGTACTACAACTCTAATCCTGTTATTTATACAGTGTTTTCACTCCAAAGGGAGAACATAACAGTCTAAAATTAGCATGACATGCATCATTTTTGTTTACTGTTCACCAGCACAAACTTCTTATATAACTCATGTACACTGAATAATCTGAAACGGATTGAAAACCTTAGAATATGAAGTTAATCCTATCATCTAATATTGATTATAGAAGCAAAGCACTTTATACAATTTCAACGATAGCCTCAAGTTCACTGCATATGCATAGCTCAATGCCACATGAAATGATGCATTATTTCCCAGTTCATTAAAGTACACTAAACCGCTACAGAATTCCCTGTGAAGTAAATTACATAACAACAAATAAATTTTCCTTTCTAAAACTTAAAAAGGAGGATTATTTTGGAAAAGCATGTCCTTGCTGGTTTCATTACAGTTGATCAAGCAATAAACATAGCAAACAAAAGACGAAGAACCATGCAGAAACTTTTCCCAAACAAAAAGAATTTACTGCTTGCCCAAATACATTAGCAACTTATTTACAGCAACTGTAGCTGAAAAAAAAATTAAAATTAAAAAAAAAGAAAAAGAAAGAAAGACCTAAACCAAAGTGTTTCATTTATAAAATCCCTCCCACTCAAGTTAGGAGGCTAAATCATTAGGTAAGTTCTCTTTCAATGAAGAAAATGAAAATATCTAACCTGCTACTCTATTCACTGGAAAAAAAAGGATGGATAATTTCAGAAAGCAACAAACAATTTCTAATATTTAAGCACAGCAACTGTGCACACTGCGTGTAAAAAAAAAAACCACAAGAGAACACTAAAGAACAACTGAGATACTATTACTTTTTGGCATGTGCTAAAAGGCACAATAAAAAGAACGATCATATCCACTCCTTTGAAAATATTTTTAAAATGTTCAAAAAATTTTAAAATGACTCTTTGATCAGCTCAGGATCAAATTCCCAAGTTTCACCCACATCAACCCTCAGATTCCTCTTTTAAGATATGGTTTTATTATAAATACATGGCATTATGAGAACACAGGTATGTTGTTCTACCTTACATTAGCACATTAAACAAAAGAAAAGTAATTTAAGGCAAAAACATCTGAAACCTTCTCTAGGTAGCTGTAGAATTCAGAAGAAAACTATTTCTTTACAGTAATTTTAGAATAAAGAAATAACCTCCTAAGCTCAGTAACACTGTCAGCAGGACCGAGTCACCCTCGCTAACGGGTCTGCCTACCCACATGGGTAAAATAACCACGAAAGACATGGATCCAAGCCCTTCTCATCTTCCAACACACTAGAAATAATTCTGTAAATTATCATGCCACATATGTTCCAAGCTTGGGCAGATCCTGCCTCAAACTTGACCGTTATCTGTATCAAATGACAGTATGACACAGTTTAGTAATAACGTTCTGAAAATGCAGCTTACCATCTCTATACTGAGAGAACAGGAGGGTAATAAAATTAGAAAAGCTTCACTTTAATAGAGATGGTAAACAAAAGATTAATACAATCTCCTATCAAATCAGTGAAGGAATAGCCTGCTAATAGAAAAAGATTAAGAGCTTTCCAGCCTTACTGGATTTAATAATCCATCAAAACAAAACCCCTTCTGTAACAACAACAAAGAATTTCTTGATTTAAATTAAGTAGTAAATCACTGACCCATGATATATTCAGAAGACAAATGCCTCATTTCTGGTTTGAACCAAAGTGCTCAAACTACACCCTGCCCAATGGAGCAAGGAGCCTTGCGGAGTGACCCCRCAGTCAGCACCACAGGGTCTGAAGTCACAGCAACCATGTCTGCTCTGACCACCCTAAAACCTGTCAAACTCATGAAGCACTTGGGCAAGCTCATTGGGTTCTAACCCTATTCTCAGAATCATATCACATACAAGAAGAGTTTTTCTCCCATGATCCATATTTGTAAGTTCTAGGAGACCATGGATTTAYGTTCATTTCTTCGTTAACGTTTTGCCCACAGACACATGTTGGGAGCTTTTGGGGATGAGGACTTGGTGGGCAGCTCGGGTCGCTCACCTGGTAATCTCGTCGTCCCCCAGCATGCCCTTGGGGACGGGCGAGTAGCGGCCCGGCGACGCCGGCGGCAGCGGCTGCCCCAGGTAGGCGGACGACGCGATGTGGTTGTCCACAGGCTGAGAGTAGGCTTCAAAGGGGAGCGGGYGACAGGGAGGCAAAGAGACCATCAGTGAGAAAGAACGCGAGGAACCGTAACACACAATCAAACTGCATCCCGTGTACAGATGGAATGCAAACATTTCAATGATACATTAATAATACTATATTTTTAAGATATTGTATCACACTACACATTCCATAGTCTCCTCACACTTTGAATCAGTAAGCAAGTTTTGAAGTTTAACTATGCCTTGTACAGACGAAATGTCTATTGAAATAACAGACACTAAATATTTGCAGCAGAACAGGGACTGGAAAGTTGATCTGTTTTTAAATTACACTTAACTTGATTGAATTAAAAAATTCATTTTCTCAAAAGCATTGTTACAGCAACAGCTTAAAAAAAGTGRTAATGTCTCTTTCTTTGCAATACTTTGGTGCAGACAAAGCAGACAAGTTTCACACCTTAAAGACCTCAGTTCTTCACAAAAGGAAGTAATCTAATAACCTCTTATTCTAGTACTTGACAATTTAATTTAGATTACGTAACTACAACTTTCAGAGGACTATTTTCTGTGTTTAAGGAAACACTAAAAGCATTCTGAGACCTAAGTTGTACAAAACAAGTCCCAYGCAAACCCGACCTCAGTGCTGGCTGCTCAGCACTGCAGGGAACCTGGGAGCAGCCAGGCTGCTGGCTGGCAACGCAGAGCCCGAGGGGAACYGGTCCAGGCAACAAAAAGCTACAGCACAGGAAGCACCAAGGTCAGCTCCCAACTATTTCCCAAAGTGGAAAATTGGGCCTTTTACATGAATACCCTATTTTTTCATATGTAGATAACCACTACAGCTACCAGTTAAGCTTGAAGGAAAGCTAAAAGAATTTGACCACTGTTTTCTCTTTACAATGAGCCCTGTGATTTAARGGTGGTTGTGCTGTAACAGACACCTTATCAAAAAGGCTAGAGAATGGGTTCATTCTCTATTTTTAGAATTAAAGAAAACCTTGACCTAGTCCTCCTCACTTAAAAAAAGGCCCACAACTGGAAAAAAGACCTGAGCACACATGTACAGACACGGGATTGAGGGCACTTCATAGATCTAAAAATCACTAAGTTGCCAGATGCTCTTCACTCCTACTCCCTTGCAACATCTGAGGTAATAGCTGGTTTTAGAAGATCTGTACTAAAACTAAAGCTTTGTAATGGAATAGATGTGATTCAGGCTGCACTACAGAAAGGACCTGTAATTTTTTCTAAATGACTGCCTGAACCTGGGGTCATACACAACTTCATCAGGAGTAAGTGAGAAATTTGTTCAATACCATCAAGCAAGAACACTACTTTTGGCAAAAGAAACTGATCAAAGTCAAAAAAAAAAAAAAAAAAGCATTCAGTGGGGAGGATTTGACAATAATTAGAGCTTTTCAAGACGCAGGACTCCTGCTGACCTCACACTCAGAGATATCTGTTGCTTTTGGTAGCAGCTGTATTGCATGTACAGCTCCCTCCTGGTCCTTGCACCCTCTGCAAAGCGTTGAGGAGGGCAGATTACACCCCTCATTGTCTGTGTGTGTATGTGTGTGTGTGTGTGTGTGTGTGTGTGTGTGTGTGCGCGCGTGCCCGGGACAAGGCGCAGCCTGTATGCACTGATCCCAACTTCTGAGCAAATACAGCCACTTCTTCAAGTTGTTCTTTTGATCATGGTGGAATTTGTGCAGCACAAACACAAGTCATTCTTACTGATTACTAACGAGTGCAGCAGCATATAGCTGCATTGCAAAATTTTGTAACAGAAAAAAAAGATATGTTTTTAAATACCAAAGTGATAATTTCCATGTCATTGTACACTTTGTTGAAGCAAAACTACTACTACTACTGAATGTAAAAATCATTAYAGTGCTTTTCGAGGAAATTACACAATTAAAGCATAAAATGTAAGGACTAGTTTATGAACTCTTCTTTAATTRAAAAAGGAAATGCAACACAGTAGTGCAGCACTACATGTACTGTTCATGCACTAACTATCCCAGAAATGAAATGATTTTACAGTTGCTTTTAACAAGTTAGCGACAGCTACTGTCATTCACATTTTTATGAAGTAACTGAATTTTATAGCAAATTGTATATTCAATTCATTTGAACTCATACAATTTTTAGTAATTGTATATTCAACACTTCTTTTAAAACATCTGAAACTCAACTGTATTACGTTCAGAAACACATGCACCATCTAGTATTATACACTTGTATTTTTATCCTTTTACCAGATAACTAAATTGAGTTATCAAGTAATTTAACAAATTACTATTTCAGATTTGTTCCCTATTCCACATCAGCACTGGCCACATCCTGGTAAGGAAGTTCTACGCACGCTAAGCACTTTGCAAAGCTGGGTCATTCTCCAGAGTTAGCATCAGCCAGCACTTTGGAAGTCAATATGCAAGAAACTGTTTTGGATGAGCAGAAAATTACAAGATGAACTTGCTAATTTATGTCACAGTTGAAGCAAGAGAGAGGAAGAGTCACACTTGAAGAGAACTTCCATTTCCAAATCCACCCTCCATTGACATAACTCAATTCTATACAGAAAGATGATGAAAACTTCCTTATTATCTGCAAACTGAAGACACCAATCTCGAGCACAATCTCTAAAGTGTGAAATAAAATAAGATTTTTATTGCAATTTTCTGTTATTATATGCTCTTCTCTTCCCATATTTATGTCACTTAAGAAAGAAGGAATTTATGCCTCCACTCAGAAAACCGATTATACCTCCCCTGCAGCATTCTGAAACTTCTTAATGCACTGTGGAAATATTGTACCAGTGCACACAGAGCGAGGACAAATAACGTAATAATTCAACATGGACTAGTAGTCAAAAATGTAGCGTTAATATTCCCTTCAAGAAAGACTTGTAAGAAAAATAAGTCCTTTTTGTCCGTCAAAAAGATGTAGATGTTTTTTCTGAGTTTGATATTCTACAATAAGTACTGTGCAGTTAAAGCTTTCTGTGTATTTTTAATAGTAAGTTCTGGATATGCTTAGTGGTGGCTAACTGAAAACCAAAAACTGAAAAAAAAAAAAGCATTTAGAGTTCTAAATTACTCAACATTTATTTCTAGGCTGATTTTTATTGACTGACATTTATAGACAATTACTGTAGTAATTTATATTCCCTGCTGATGACTTATTCCAGAAGACATCCRTGCACAGGTCCACCCACTGAGGGCTGCATCGATGCTCTTCTTCCACAGACAAATAACAGAGCTTTTATGAAATTTCTATGTTTCCGATACTGGAAGATCTCATTTTTCAGTCAWTAAAGACTGGCTGCCACAACCAAGCACTGTACTCAAATGGCAGTGTGCCCAGAAATAAGTCTTCCGTGAACTGTGTTCTACGTGACTCATAAAATGGAGATTCTTGTAAGGCACCTGCACAAGGCAGCACACTTGAGGGGGTTAAACAAATCCTACTGAGATGACTATTAGAAAGAGGCCAGGCAATCAAGTCTTCCAGCCTGTCAAGGGCCAGAAGAAGGGCCACTCTTTAAAGTGCAGCAGTCCTTACAGCTACAGCCCATAACCACGAGCCCATGCCCTGCGACTGTGATTGTATCTGCTGAATGCTCAGATACCAAACAGCTCCAAATCTCCTTTCCTGATGACTTGGACATTAGTTTCCCCYAAGGCAGCCGGAAACTGTTCGTTAGCTCTGATAAATACCAAGTGACTGGGGCCAGATTTCTGCCCCAGGTACAGGCAATGAAACACACGGGCAGGATCTGTAAGCTTCCTGACAAACACTGCCACAAGCCAGAACCTCAGGAACTTCTTGATCAAATGTCCCTGGACTTGAGACCGCCAACCTCACTCAAGAAACRTCACATTTCAAATAATTTGAGTACCCATGTGGATGCTAAGTTACCCAGGGACATCTCTGGTGCCATCAGAACACGCGACAAAACTGTGCTTTTGTATGGCCAGTGCTTTTACTGTAGGAGCTGTAAAAGAAAAAGGAGTTTATAGAAAGTCTTTGTTGACCTGGTGCTCAAGAAGTTCTGCCTTCAACACTCTTCAACGCTCCCTTTTAAAAGTAGAGCTCATCCATAAACAGAAAGCAAGGCAGCTCTCGAAGCAAACCTAGACCAATGCTGGGAGGAAGTGCTGAAGACAACAAAATACTCTGATGTTCTGTGGAGTCTTGAATGAACTACTGGGTTCACACAAGTTACCACCAGGTACAGTCTGCAACATGTTCTGCTGAGTGGACATCACAGCCTCCAGCCTGGTGGGAGGTACTGATCACCCTTATTACTTGTTTCTGATAAAATATTTTTCTTTTTTAAGCAGAGACAGTCTGGGCAGTAAGTAGTCTAGACCCACACTGATCCGGTATAGAGGGCTTTTCAGCTCAGCAGTATTTGTACAAAATGAGTATGTCTGTGGGCAGCCTCTGTGTAGGTTTAGAAGACAGAGTAACAAAAGGAATAGTACCTGTATAGGAGAGGAACCAAATTCTTAAGAACCTGGATAAGACAGGAATTTGGARGACAAAAAAATCAAGAATGGCAGTAACACGTTTCTGAATGGCTGCAAGTAAGAGTTTAAAGAAAGATAAACTTGTATAAGAATCAAGCCAAAGAAAAACTAAACTTACAGTTTGTGATGTCTGGAGGGGCATAACTATCATTCATGAACATGCTGGTGGGCTTTGCAACTTTCAGATAAACAAAGTCAGATGTGTTTTTTAAGGCAGTCACTGCTTCTTCATGAGTAACTTCTTCTAAGCAAACACTGTTCACCTGAATATGAAAAAATACACACATTCTCAAGGTAAAAGAGTCAGCTTTCACATGATGCTCACTGCAGAAGAGAAAAATCCCCCTATTGTATGCTGGTTTACATTTCAGGCATYTAGACAACAGAAACTAATGGCCAGCGTCAATAATGAAATACAGGTATTTGCATGAAGCACTGTGCTGAGGTACACATTCCAAACTTCCTGAAACGACTGTATGGATCAGAGTACAGCTTGAATTTTAACACCGATTTTCTGGAAGAGCATTATCTTAATGACTTCTACAATACAATCTGCCAGCTCCACTGACAGGTAGCTTCATGATCAAGGGCATCACATTCTCTTCCRAGACCCACAAGTGAAGGCTCATAAAAGAAACTGCAGCTCTTACTCACAGCTAAAAGTTTGTCTCCAATCTGAAGTTTGCCATCTTTATGGGCCGCTCCTCCCTCTATGATTTTGGTTACATAGATGCTGTTGTCTCCAGGTATATGTTGATTTCCTACACCACCAGCAATACTGAAACCAAGACCTGCATGAAAATGAAGCAAGAAACCTTTTAGCATTCAGTAGATTTTAATAATTGTAAGAACACTACCTGTATCACACATATACATAACTGATTTATACATGCACATATATATAAATACACATGTTTAAGTGTGTTTATACACAAATATGAAAAGAGGTGGCTGAGTAAATACTTCCCAGTGAACTTCTYGATTTTCCAGAACGTTCTAAATAGCAGTAATGCTTGCAGAAGTTCTGAGAACAAAACTAAATGATTCAGTTCATGTCTTGTGAAATATATACACAGCACAGTTAGAGCAGCAATATTTATAACCAAAGAACTATTTTCCACCACTTCCCCTTTTAAAAGGACAAGAATATTTTTCCCTAAATGTTTTTAACCTCCCGAGATTTGTTGAGATAATTCACCTGAAATAATGTAGTTACTTAAAAATTGAACAGGAACATATTTCAGCTACCCATTTTTACTACTCGAAAGAGAAATATGCATTGAGAACAGTAATACAGCAAGCATGCACGAGAATGCAGGAGTGCTTGAGGCACTATGATCTTACCTTCTTTATTCTTCATTTCACAGAGCTTCATACTCAAGGTACTGCTTTATTTTGACAAAAAGACATTCTAAAATCAACTCTACCCAACTTATGAAATAGCTTTATACTTCTTACATACCTTTAGGGCCTTTTACAAGTTTTATTTCCACTATTTTTTCCGTGACTGGTTTTCTTCTTTTAACATACAGTCGTACAATTGATCCTGCTTCTTTCAAGGCTTCAACTGCTTTGCTGTGCGTCACATCACGAACATCCACCTCGTTCACTCGTAGGATACAATCATTAACCCTAGAGACAGCAACGTTCACATTCAGCTGCTGTTTGGCAGCACACTGGACGCATTAGAAACCTCATAGTACTTTTCTAAAATAAGTACCTCAGAACAAGTAGTGTAGAAGTAGTGTTGGAAATAGAAACCTCCAACACGAGCCCTGCCYTGCACCAGGTCACTCGCACAACAGAGGTGGCACCAGGCTACCCTGTCACCGCAGGGGATGTGCATGGCTCAAAACAAATCCTTTTGGATACTCCATCTGGTACTTGCCAGAAATCCTAACCAGACTGCTGAAATACATCTTCCCACTGCATTCTTTTAACCTCCTCTGCTAAAACTAAGCTCAGTTTATGAAATATTTAGAACTGTGCTGTGACAGCAAAGCACAARCTTATTCAGTCACTGCATTAATACTAATTCATGTAAATATTAACTAGCACAAGAGCTCAACTTTCAAGTGGAGGTAGAAGGACCAGCATAAGAGCAAAGAGGAAGGATAAAAACATGGGGGATGCTCTCCAGCACTGCTTGCTGTTACTAGTAGCTCATCAACCCTTTTTTGTTTGGCAGCCCATCATTTTACTGGATTCTACGACCTCTGCACAATTTAGAACATGAGACACCTAAAGAAATACATTAAAATATTATGTGAACTTGGATTCAGTGTAGTCTAAAAATAAAGTGCATGAGGGAAAAATAGTAATGAAGAAAGATGCCCTAAACTGGTAGAAGAAAAGTACTTCAAAGATGCTTACAGAATCCGCTCCTGAGGTCCCATTAGGGTTCAGGAGTTTCATCAGAATTAGAAGATTTAAATATACATTTGCGGTACCAGAGGCATGAGGCGTGGGATCAAACATATCCCTACATCACCTAAGTGATATTGATAAACTGTCCAAATTACTTCCTTGAGAAGGATACATTCAAAATCGGAACTTTAGAAGTTGACCAAAGTAAGAATTACAGACCATTTGGCAAATCAATGTATATCACAGAACACAGAAGATCAAACTCACTTAACTACAGATTTATTGGATGAAAAAATCCCACTTAAGTATTTCCACTATTTACAAAACAATTAATAAAAACTTTAGGTATTAATGTGATATCATTAACTAAGATCTGAAAATGCTTATTCTACTGATTGATAAGAAATTAGCAACACAACACAAAAAACTGTCATACCGTAATCTTCCATCCTGAGCAGCTGCACCTCCAGCTATAATTTTTGTAATGAAAATACTTGCATCATCCCCAATATGTGGGTTATCTGTTCCACCTGCAATGCTAAAGCCAAGTCCTGAATTTCCCTAAAGAGAGAGAGGGAAAAATAATAAGATATTTTTGACTCTAATAAGACTCTGGGTCAATATAATAACAAGTTTATATAATCTTTCTAAAAATTACATAATATTATTAAGATTATATTACATTATTAAAAAACAGTTGACATTTTTGTTGCTATCCCTGCTCCTGAAAAAAGGGTKGCTTTAATAAAATGTCGCAAGGATCTGTGCCTCCTAAAAACACTSTAGAGCAGCAGCTTCAGGGTTCCTGGCAACTTGAACTTGTCCTAACTATCCAGAAAGTGCAGATACTGAACAAACTGCAGTTCAGTTATCAACACAATATTAAACCACCATTATATTGCAATTAAGAACTGAAAACAAAACTATAGCTCTCTCTATACACATATACAACGTTGTGATTTTTTAAAAATGTAGGTTAAAAAGAACCTCTTTGGATTGCCTTTAACAGCATGCTAACAATAGGGATTAATTCTTAATATTTAAATATCATGGGCTCCCATTTCAAAATAGAGTACAGGAAGATGTTTGGTATATTACCCTTTCGAGAGTAATTTCTTCATACTCATAATCTGCATCTGTGCCATTGACCTAAAACGAAAGAAAAAGTTATTTTAACTTTACACAGGACACAGTTTGTTAGATTGACAACTCACTCCCATCAAATGCCAACTGAACCCCACTGCTCAGAGCGCTTAGAAAAGGCCTGTGATTGTCCCACCCTGCTCTGCCTTCGTTATCAGACACCCCTCAGGCAGCAGCTCGCATTAAATGCTGCACACAACAGGCTGCTCAACAGAGATAGTCCAGAGCAGAGGCRAAAGAGTTAAAAGTGAGTGAGCAAGGAGGGAGAAAGGATCAAAGAWGAGGTTTTATATATATATATACAAATATATAAATATATAAATAATATATTATATATATAAGGTATTTATATAGGTATAAGGTATATATAGCTCCACACTGATCAGAGAAAAATCAGATAAGCGCTCTAAAATAAGCTTTCTGTATGAATCCCCACCTCTGTTTATACCATCCTTTCACAAAACATCTTGTCTGTCCTAAAAATCTTCTAAATCTTCATCTTCTGTAGCACTACCATACTACAAACTACATAGTTTTTATAAGGCTGCAAAAAGCCTTATAAAGAGGCTTTTCCAGAGAGGCTTTCCCAAATGTGTAATTTTTYAGTGGAGAATAAAAAAATGGCACCTCCAAATTCACTCCCAATGAAATTTAAGAGCATATCCACATCATTCCTGGCATGCTCATTTAACATACTTAAAAGCTTCCAGTGCTAGAGAGAAGACTACAGCTTTCACAGGCAATTTAATATGGGGCTAGGTTATCCCTCATTACAAAAGTTTTTCTTAATCCCCAACTTTATCTCCCTGCACTGCAATTTAAGCCACATCCATCCCAGACATAACAGATGATTATCCGCCTTTCGCCCAGCACCTCAAATACAGTGTCCTTAATAGTTTGCTCTATGGAAAAGAAAAAAAAGATACTGTGCTTTTAGCACATGATATTTCTCTATTAAAAAAGGAAAAGGTCCTGACCTCATGAACACATGAAACTTTATCTTTTTCTACACCAACACCAGAGAAGCCACTGTGATCAAGAATAGCTTTTACATTAACTTAGTCCTTGAGCACACAGACATGTGCTGACTGACCCAGTCATCTCGTATTACAGCACCTGGGAAACGGTTCACGACAAGTGATCAGTGTGAGGCTTCCCTTCCCCAACAGAAAAAGAAAGTTTATTAGTGAAGATTTTGCTTATTCTTGATTCTGATCTCGCAGGCATGACTGTACACTACTCATCACCTAACGACTCCATTACCTACGTGGCAGTGACCCTGGAAGGTATTGCTTTACTCAACCTCCTACCATTACAGAGCAGCTTAGATTACAGCTGGTTATGAGGTTGTTTGTTTTACCTTCACTGTAAACTGATAGCTCCAGGACCTCAGAATTTTCACCGCCAATTCATCTTGTTAGTTCAAGCTTCCCTTCTAGCTTCTACCATCCACTGTCCTCCCAGTGGCCCTGTCAGATGAGGCTATCTGAAATGTGTTGTTTAAAAAGCCATTTTTCCTCAATTTAATTTGTGCGTAGAGGGAGACAGGTGGGACTATTTGAAATGTGATTTTTGCTTAAAATCCATTTTTTCCTCCATTTATTTTGTGTGTAGAAGGAGACATCTCACAGTCAATACTCTCCTAAGCATCAGGAGTGCAAAGGGCACCTCCAGCTGCTGGGATCTTTTCAGTCAGAGGTAACTTGGACTTGGGCCCATGGACTTGGGTCAAACGTTGAAGCCAACTCTGTCACTGTACCTGCCTYTTCATTCTCCTTTTTACTCTGTTAATTCATACTTTTGTCTCTCTTGACACACTGGAGCTTCCTTTTAACAAGCTTTATAAGCAACAATGCTTTTTACAAGGACAACATTGATTCTCCTTTACTTGCTAATACCARTTCCTAAAGTAAATACAAAATAAAGGAGCTAGTCCAGATATCAACACCGTGCTTCGAAAAGAAACAGGCAAGTGGGATACAATTATCTACAGTTAAGGAAGTGTTTTTGAAAACTGCAGCTGAAAGAGCAGTCAAGTACTGAAATATCTGACTGCAGAGTTAGAGCTTGTTGCCGAAGGAGAATTCTGTATCCAACCAGCTACATTTGTGCTGTCAGCCCAGCGCTACTCATGGAACCTTCCCAGGAACCCACCATATTTTTTTTCATAAAACATGATTTTAGATAAACATTAAGATATTTGAACAAACTGCCCATCATAAAGGAGGTAAAATAGGCTTTATTAGCCCGTAACAGACCTAGACAACTACATATACAAAATATTATGTAAAGCTGTGATTGAAAGGAAACAAGCTTACATATGTTGAAGAGTCCAAGGAATCTGTATTCACCAGTACTGGAGGGGGATTTGCCTTTTAAAGGAAAAAAAAAAACAAAAACAAATATTGTAAAAGAGAAAGCAATTCCGAAATGAAAAATTGCCCATTATTTGACATGCTTAGTTTCTCAATGTTCTGTTAAAATGTAGCCTCAGCTAAAGATTCTGAAAAAGTGACCTCTTCTGAAACTTGTTCTTAGCCTCTCTGACTCGTGCTCAGAGCCTTCACCTCTCAAAAGCCACCCACCAAAACTACAGCACAAACCATTCCACTTACAAACACCATCATTTATCGTTTCTCAACAAAAAGGAATCATGCTCTTCATTTGCTCTTCATTCATCGGTTACCCTGGGATTTATGGTATGACATCTACAAGTTGCTTGACCAGTCAGCATTTTAAAAACAAATTKTGGTGGGTTCCCTTCTCCTTTTCATATCAAGTACAACTGTTTTCTTCCAAACTGGGGAATGCAGATTTGCAGAAATGCAAACATACCAAAATAAAAGATCTACCCTGTATACTTTATCAGCGTGTGCTTGACAGTCTATGTGTCTATGTGTTTTTTCCTGTCTTAAAAAAAAAAAAAAAAAGGAGAGATGAGGAAAACAAGCTAATAAACAAACTGCCAGTAGCAGCTGAGATTTCCACGTGCAGCATTTCAGACACCAACAAGCCAACAGCTGCTAAATCTCTTCCACAATTTCAATGACAGCTTCTGGTGCTTCTGCATTTATTTGTGTTTTATGTCAAGAATCCCCAATTTGGTGTCATTTCCAAGGGCCAGACAGGGCACACACAGCCCTGCACCCTGCAAAGGCACGGGACAGGGGGCACCCCAGGGTCAGCTGGGCTCGGCAGGCAGATCGGCGGTTCCCACTCTTCCCAAGCTACTTCCCGCCTCCAGCTCCCTGCCAGGGATCCTTCAAATAGCTAAAGGGCAACTGAGAAACTTGTTTACAAGCAAGCTAAGGGCTTGCCTAAGGGGAAAACAACTTCCCCAACATGGAGGAGTATCTATTGCACACACACGAAAACTGCTTCTGCCACGTCCAGAGTTCATAACTTTTACAGTACGTTTTAATTGCTTATACTCGGGCGTGCAGAAGAACACAGGTGATCCCCGCTGGTGCCTGCAGGAGACCCAAGGCAGCAGCCACCCGGCTCCTGCCCTTCTGCTTTAATCCAGCCCCATCCATGTCTAATTCTCCTTTCCTCCTATTACTTCAATGYTTTTTCTTTAGCTACTTTATAATTGATTAATATGCTTAGATAAAATATAAATATCTTAAACTGAATAAAAGCTGCTGCAAAGCAACAAAAAAGATGGGACACAGTAACAGTTCATTTTCTCTCTGCCTCTTTTGCTTCTTCCTTAAGGGATACAGGAAACTAAAAAATAGCAGTAACGGAAGAAGTCTCATGTTACAAGTGGATGCCAGGATTCAGAGCCTGTGTTTCCAGCAGCACTCGACAATAAAATACTGCAGAGAGTTGGCAGCAGCTCTTGATATAAAATAGCTAACGATGCAGTTTGAAGGAGTTGCCAATGATTAAAGCAAGTACAGATCCAAGGCAACTTTTCTTTTGCATAAAAATAACTGCACTTTGAAGGATAGCAGGAAAAGAAACATTTTCAGTCCAACTCATCCTCACTTATTCGTTTTAAACTTCCACTCAGGGATAGYAGAAACTTACAGACAATTCTCTTGCATGTTTTCACAAGTGCAACACATGGATTGCAAGCACACTGCCCAACTCACAGCAACATTTTCTCTCTGCATAACTGAACTTAGGAGTCAGGAGTAGCAAGTGTTTTTGTTTGGTTGGTTGTTTTAAAGCCACTTTTGTAAATGTCTGATTCAGAATGAACTATAGGTCAGGAAACCAAATGGAAACAAGGTAGTGCCTCTGGGAAACTGAGACTTTAGAAGGGGTTTTGTTGTTGTTGCTGTTATTGTTGTTTTAAAGCACTACTACTACTTAAAACTTTCACGCATTTGTTTTTTTTAAAAGCTATGGAAAGAAAGTAAAGGCCAAACCCACAGAACTAGTAACAAAACAGCCACAGGATCACATATATGCTTATTTTGTAAAACATCAAAACACATGTAAGGAACTCTAGTGTATTTCTAATTTTGCTATTTCAGACCTCTGTGTGACTAGACCAGAAAATGAATTTAAACAACAATGAAATCAAATAAATAAAAAGTTGAATAAATCAAAGAAACAAAAAAAGAATAAAAACCTGTGATATGGTGGATGGGATGACAGTGGTCTCGGCAGGGACTGGAGGGACAGGGATCACAGGGACAATGGGAGTAGAGGAAGGAACAGCTTCTGTGGGCTAAAAATCACCAAAAAATGTCAAAAAAGGCAAAACAAAAAGCACTGACATTTAACAGCTATTTCTTTTTTAATTCTCAATAGCATACTGATTTAAAGACTATAAGCAACTGAGAACAGACATCTTGAACTGCATAGTATATGATCGTGCATTCCCAACAATATGTGAATATCAAAGACTCCAGGTAGTATCCACACTATTTACTCTTGTCRCTTACCTTGCAGTACAGAAGAGTAAGACTTGGGGCTCCAAAAGAAAACCTTTTCATGGCAGTGAACAGGCTCAGACTTTACAGGGGCTGCTTTCAAGGCAGAAGCCCTTCATAATTACAGASTAGTGGCAAAAAGAGGAAAACAGCCTTTCAAATTCCCAGTACCCAACAAAGCTGGCTCCCCATTGATAAAGGAAGAGGAGAAAAAAATGTTTCTTAAACCAGTAAAAACTAAATAAAATCTTAGTAATCTAAGCAGAACACCCTAACACTCATTCATCCCACCTTTTCAGGGAGCATCATACAGGCTTACTTACATATAGCACACCCCTTTCTCCTAGTAAGGAYCTCCATTTGGGAATTTCAGATACAATAATTAAAAAACCCTGCTGACATAAGCTGCAAGGGAACATGATTATAAACAACATTTGGGACTAAACACTGATTTGAATCACTTTGACATATTGAAATAGTGGTTGTCAGCAAACTGTCAGAAACTACTGGCACCTATAACCAAAATTATTGGCTGAATTATGGATCCAAACTCTTATGAGTTAGTTTTCCCAAGACATTCCTGTGATCTTAAAACACACTGAAGATTAATGAAAAACCTAAGAAAACTATTAAATCCTGAAAATAACCAAAARCTCCAGAACATGAAAGTATTAAAAATATTTTTAAAAGTTCAGATGTTTTATCAAGCAAGGCAAGATATTTCAATAGCACAAACCAAATTTCCAAACCAAACAGCAAAGGCAAGGACTAAAGAAACATAACACCACCCAAGAGCTACAGCCCCTACTGGAAATATATTTTATATTTATACAGGTGTTTTCAGCTTCAAGTTCAATCCAAAGGGAACATCTGATAAGGTGCAGTTATTGAAAAAGGTAAAAACATGAAAGAAGATATGTCTGGTAACTTGAAAAAACTATGACTAATGACATTACAGATTTTTATATTTACAGGCCACAGCAGATCTTTTTAGTACAAAAAAAAAAAAAAATAAATGGAATATAAATTGGTCTAAATAACTGATCACAACCATTTCCCAAGGGGCACAACAAGTGCTTAGTGCGACACTCGGGCAAGGCTACTTAAATTTTACTGCTCATCTTAAAATTCACACATTACTCAGRTGAAAATAAGGCCAATTACTTCCAAGTTTTCAATTAAGCAGGAACAGTAAAAACTCTCCCTTTAATTTTACCAGCCCTCTTTYGCCTTTCACGCCATTCCTCTACCCTCACATCTGATACAGACTGGAGCACAAGGGGAAACACAACTTCTGGACGCGGGTTCAAACCAGAACAGGTCCCACGGAGAGCTGCCAGGCCGAGCAGCAGAACCAAGGTCTCCTGTCTGTATGAGGCTCCCTTGCCAAGCAAGGGCTCCAGAGAAGGTCCCAAACACCGTGGGGCAGGGGGAGGTTTGTGTCACTTATGGGGCACGCAAGGCCACGAGGCACCRCGCAAGGTGGCAGCTCAAGCCTTGGGCTGCACCCTTGCCCACCCTYCCTGCTCTCCCAGAGCTGGGCGAGCAGCCTCCCACCTGGGAGCTCACACCCTTTCCCACCCTTTCCCAGCACTGATGCCCCTTTCGCTTGCCCAACAGGGAGGCAACAGAAAGCAACCTTGAGATGTGGGAGGTCTGCAAGCTGCAGAAAGCCCGTGGATGGAGAAGAAAGCCTCGCTGGAAGGTGGTGGGGAAGGAAGAGGACCTTGTGCAACCCCAGGAAGAGGAGCACCCAGGTAACCTGCAGTGTCTGCTTTTTCTGCTGCCTCACCAAACCCCTTGGAAAAGGCCCAACCAGGACCAAACCAGCCAAGGTGAGCTGAGGAAGAGAGGTCAGCAATGCAAGAACTATCTGTTTCCAAATACAGCACCCAAAAAGCTGTCTGATCACTCAAAAAAATAACAACGTGAGAAACCTGTAGGCTTCTAACTGCCACAGCAAGACACCCTTGAACATCTTTCTAAGCAGGGGGATGCTAAATGCATTTTACTATAATCCACAATCAGTCTGACAAGGATTATAGTGTGTAACGGCTCTTGGAGAAACTCAAACTGCCTGGGATGTCACTTCCCATGCTCTGCTTGCCCAGACCCTCCAGCAAGGAACACCCTGAATGCATAGGGATTGCCGAACTAACACACGTAAGTTGTTTGGTGCAAAAGTGCTTATCCCCAAAGTAACTTTCAATAATGTCTCTGACAGGATTTAATGGGCCAGGTTTAAATGGACACAAACTAATCTACGCTACAAAGAATGTACTGGACCTACTGAAAATTTCATTTTGACTGTACATGAACTATGTTACACAATCACAATAGATTATCTCATAAATGAATGCATCGCTTGAGCAATAACACAAGCAGCCTAACAAAACACACCATTACCTATACGAAAATGTAATTCTGTTTAAACACCACAGTAGTACTTGGAGAATACAAAGCACACAGACTTTCCTCTCCTACAGCAAATTACTACAGAGAACAAAACCCTGCGAACAGCACAAAGTGAGAGAAACGCTTCTGATCAGTATTTTTTCACAGGCAGCTTTCAATTTCCAATAACATATCTTTGATTTCTGATTACAAAGTGAAGATGAACTGAAACAGTAAGTCTTTAAAAATCGTAGCGATAAGGCTACAGAAAGAACAGCATTGTTTATTCATTTTGCATGAAACCTACCTTGTTTGCATTTCCTAAAGAAGCATAAAATCTTCTAAAAATGCATATCAACAATACTGAGTACAAYACATACCTTTTCCACCGAATAATTAGAGCACGAGCCATCAGACACCCAACCACTAGTAGCCTTTACTTTTGCTGTGCTTTTTGTAGGGCTCTTTTTTACACTGTCACGTAGGTTGGTGAATTTTCCYCTGTGTTTCGAAGAGCCCGGCAGGGTGGCCGAGCTATAGGACGTGGCAATGTAGAGCGCCCGCTGCGGCTCCCGGAGAGGCTGCTTGGGCTGCCCGGGAAGGTCCTGACGTGTCTCCATCCTGGGGCTCCTCGTTAGATCAGCGAGCCCGAGCGGCCCCACTTCGTGCCCATCCACGGCACCACCGCGTTGGTGGCCGTGACAGTAAGCAGCCATGAAACTAGCAGTGCAAGTAGTCCGCTTGGGAAGTAAAAAATTAGGAGGGTAAAAACCAATACTRCTTGATGCAAAAGTTTTTTAAAAATGTATTTCTGGTTTATGGTAATAGGAAAAAACTCCAAAATGCTGCTGTACCTAGTCCTGCATTTTGCCTACGCTATTTAAAGAACACCATTGAACCGCCACCCAACAGTCAATTTGCGAGGCATAAATAATCAATGCAAAGCACAAACCACTGAATAGATGGCAAAAGTCACCTGATTTTACTCAAACTATGAAACACTAGATGATTTTCTCACATAGGCTCCTGCCATGCCTAAACATCTTTGTATTTAACAGTCTCTAAGCTTTGACAGGCTAGCCATTTACTAAATGTGCCTATTCCCTATCCTTACATACTTCATTAGGTGGCTGCAAGATGACAAATTTAAAGTCAATGATGAAAAGCATAAAAATTGCGAAGAGGAAGATGTGTTGTGCAAGATACCAACATTAAATCTGCAGCAAGGAATAGCTGCTTCAAAYCACAACAACTAGGTTTACTTCCTGTGTTTGTAGTATTGAGTGGCACTTCAGTGAAATACAGTAGCTTTTTTCAGAGAATTTTAAGATGGAGAGCATGTCTATAAATGAAAAACTAATAAAATGCAGTTATTAAAAAGCACCATAATCTCTATGCCATATTTTTATCCTAATTTTTCAAAACAAAAACACCAAAATTCTTCTCCTGCAGCCACTCAAAACAAACAYCGAACCAGGAATGGGCTTGTTGCCATCACGCTGACAAATATTTAACTCCACCAGCCAATTTTAAATCAGCCATTCTAAAAAAAGAAAAGGGTCAAAAGTTAAGTCCCCAGAGTCCAAAGGAAAATTGACAACTAATAGAGAAATCTATAGCATTGGCCCCGCTGCGGGAGGAGGCCGCTAGAGCCAGCGGKTACCGCAGCCTCCTGTGGCCATTCGCCCTCTACCCACCATCGGCCTCCTGCACTCTACAAATGCACCACAGCTCAGCTGCACACACTGCATTTGGAGAGAAGAACGAACTTTTATCAGTTCAAGGCATTAAAACATGACTGTTCTTCATGGCACTCTGCGCATCCCTATGCTAAATCTGAATATTCAGACAATACGAGTCAGCATAATGTTGCTAACAAAATAAACTTCAAATACAGACTTAAGTACAAACATCCCCAGTTATCTATAGCATGGATATTAAGAGATGAATAGGGACTGACAGACGCTCCTCTAATCACCAAGAGCTGCCATGTCTCATCTTCTACCCAGAATGGATGTAATCAAGAGCTGCAGAACGTATCATTAAAGCAATGTTCAGGAATGCAGAGACARAAAGGTTGCTGGTCAGTGACACGAAGCTCAAGATGTGTTGGTCACACGAACACTTGCAGATGTGGGATGACCAGTTCAGCTTCAGTCTTTGCAGACTGAGGGAGTGCATGACTGCRGCCCATCAATACACATGGGCTGGTTGTGCTGCTCTAGACAGCCTAAGAAACCCTAAATTTAATTTTAGGAGTGCAGAGAGAGAACAGAAGATAAGCATGTTGTGAATGTGCATATAGGTAAAGAATTCAGACACTGCCTACATATTTTTTTTCTTCCTTCTGTAGATTGCAATATCTACATAAGCCTTAACACTGAGCAACTCTGAGACGTAT